GGAAATTCATTTCATACATATAAAATATATCAATGCAGGGAAAAGCTATTGAAAATGGATTACGCTGAAATTTTAGAGCTCTGCATCAGAGATGTGCTACAGCGAACAATACAAAAATATTCTATTTCAGTCTGTAATAAGTTCTGCTCCAGAAGATGAGCTACTGTCTAGGGAATGTATATATTTAATTTCCCGTTTAAGCAGTGATTTTCTTATAAATTCAGGCAAGGAAAGAGGAAATGTTACTGGACAAACAAGCTGATTTTAAGTGTTCTTTACTAGCAATGATTACTCTTTGTTTTGATAAATCATACTGAATGTGTTGCTGGAATAGAAACATAATCAGTTTCTATTATTTAAAAAATGAAAGTGTTTAATGAACATGATTTTTGCCAGTTAACTGAAGTTCAGTTAGCCTGTCAGTAAAAAAATTGACCAATCTTCTAACTCAAGAGGTTGTTTCGTTTGACTTTATAAGGATCAAAAGCTAGCAACATCATTTAGTACTGGATTATTTTTGCAAGGCAGGTGAAAATATGTATTTTGAATCAGTTATATAAGACGCGGTAATCTACGCTGAATATATCTCTATTTTTTGAAGGAATTTTTAAAATTATGATATTTTATTATGGGCTGGATTTATTGTCTATTCAAATAATGTAAGTGTAAATTATTTAAATAACATTTATCAGTAAATGAAGCTGCATAGATCAAGAAGAAGGAAGTAATTCAGGACTAAGTACCTAGATGCAGCTTGCCAGAATGCTGCTCAATAAGATGGCATATACATTTCAGACTTTTCTGCCATTGCAATTCAGTGGTTAGCTTATTCAAAATTGAAAAGCCAATGGGGAGGTAAAAAAGTGGGCAAACTTGTTTCCTAATGAATAAAAATTCCTCTGGTACTATGCACTCTGAGAGATGATAGAAAGCAGCTTCGCTATGACATCTGTCAGCTCCCTCTGTCCCCTGGATGCAAGGACTGATGTATATCTACATCGTTGAATGTAGATAATGTTGCTTGGCTTGTGCACTTTCGAGGTCTGGGCACAGTCTTTCCTGGTAGAAACTGAAGCCGAGAAAGCATTGAGTACCTATCTGACCTATGATGTCCTTTGTCACTAGATCTACCACCTATTGAACAGTGGGTCCACATGAATTCTTCAGCCCTACTTGTGCTGCTATTTATTCTCAGAAGCTGTTTTTGCTGGTCTTCAATCATCCTTTGCTACTTTTAACTCTAGCTGAACTTTAACTTTCCTAATGCCCTCGCTGCATGTACATTTATTCTCTCAATGTTTCTGGCAAAAGATAGAATCAGAAGGATAAGGATAAGCAGAGGAGATGTATTATCATGACTTGAGCAGATGCAGTGAAGTTAGGCTATTTGTCTTAGGCTAACATAAACATAACTTATGTTATATGAATGATGATAACTGTCCTATACTCAGTACATCATCTACAAAGACATGAAGTTCGTGCTCTGAATCCTTTGTGTAATGGTGTCCATTTACCTTTATCAATTGTAAAAGCTGAAGTGTTTAAACTTATTAAAGTGATCTTAGTCTTTGAGAACACTTCCCTTGATATACAGGAGAGGCATCATGGCTTTTTGGATAGTAGATATTATCAGGAGGAGTATTCATGTACACATTTGCTGCACATATGGAAAGAACGGGAGAAAAATGGATGGAGTAAGGTTTGAGGGAGATACTGTGATACCAGTTGGAGCAAAACAACAAATATTTCTTAAAAGGGTGTGGTTTGGGCCTTTAGAATGAATTGATGTAAATTAATTTTTACATCAATTGATGTAAAATTGATGTAAATTAAGATTTATATCAGAGAATATGGGTCATCTGGCAATTTCTAATGTGATAGGTGTTGCAGTAATTTTTCTTAGAAGATGGTCATGACTTGTAGTAACTTATGCTGATATATATTTTCATTAAATAAAATCTCTCAAAATCTTTCCTTTGATAAACACAACAAATAGATTAAAGATAGTACACTATAGACACTTGTTACTTATTGTCTGCTCCTACTGCCTGTTGAGTCAGGCAAAACTCACACTGACAAAATAACTTAAAATGGCTTTTACAGAGTAAAGAAATAAAAAAGGGATTAAAAAGCTGCATGGTTTCCAGACTGATCAGGATATTAGAGAATTTTTACTTTAAATTTATTAATTGGGCTGGAAACTCAGACTTATGTAAGATATAACTAATGTGCTCTATAACGTGTCTTGTATTTCAATCATAGTTATATTAATTTGTAACAAATACTGAAAAGAAGTATGTTTAATTTCAATAATAAAACTTTCATTTTGTTATTGTGAGCACCTAGTTTCTCTGCTTAGATGGTTCTGTTCTACCACTTATGTCCTGCATTCAATTTAGCACACACATTTCCACTAAGACACTTGCAGGTAGGTCAAAAAAATGACTTCTGTTTAGTGAATTTCTGTTTTTAGCACCAATATTGTCAACAATGCCAGTTATGTTATCATCTTTTTAGTTTTCATGTTTTCTGTGAAACCTCTTCAAAGGTGGACTTTTCAACACATACAAATATATATGTATATTTGTAAGATATGTGGAAATATGGATGGATTTTTTTCAACAAGCAATTTACCTATAAGACATCAGCACATATATCCATGCTCTCATGTATGCTTTGAACCAACAGTAACTGAGACAGTCCTCAACAGAGATCTCAAGGAGTAGATCTATTCCATATCATGACATAGGCCCAAGAAAAGCTATAAACTTGCCATTGTCGTACATTATCAGTATTGTCTGCATATTGAACAATATTATAATTGTCAATTTTGAGTTACTCTTTATTTCATACCTCTAAATATCTTGCAAAAGTAATTGCCCTGTTGGATTTAAGATGTTGAAAATTCAAAGCATTTCCAATGAGGAAAGGACTATATCTCTGAAACAGAGAATATAAAAGGCAGGAAGGAAATGTACAGCAAAATTAAATATAAACAATTTAGAAGATTATTATTAGAAGATATTTTGTAATGTTACTTTTTGTGAAGAAGTTTTGAGTCACTGATTCAAGTGATTGATTTTTTTTTTTTTACTTTGTCATTTAAATACTCAAAATCATATTCACTGGTATGTATTTAATAAATAAAATGTTGCTTGCAGTTATTATTTTGTGGAAATATTGAAAATACTGAAGTATCTATGAGCTTACATGTGTAAAGAGTCATTAAGTTACCATTCAAAAAGGAAAAAGGTGAAGTTGTAGTGAATATTGTGTAGTTTAACAGTAATTTCAGGAGAGAAAATGATTTGCAATCGAATTTCTGTTGAGGATCAGGATCTGTTCTGAGACAGCAGTGCCATGAATTACATTTTCTTCTTGTTAAAAAGAGTGTATCATATTTTGCCCTGAAAAAAACACAGCAGGTAATTAAACATTCCTCAACAAGCTTAGTTTTGAAATTGTTCATTTTATGTTTTAATAAATAAATAGTTAATGAGTAAGAGAAGTTAAGTGAAGGATGTGGATTTCTGTGGTAGAAACAAAAGGATGGTTCGCATTTCAGAGCTGTCATTAGGCAAGAATTGGCAGGATTTTGAGGCAAGCCATTAAGTGGCTGAATTAATAGGGGAATATCAAGGTTATGTACTGTAATAATGAAAAGGGTTGTGGAGTTGTGGAGGAAGAAGTATCATACAATGCAGCAGATACACTTTTATTGTGTAGAAATTCAATTTATGACTGAGCAGCCAATTCTAGATATCATAAAAACACCATCAGGGCAAAGAGGATAAATCAGGCTCAAAATGTAGGCTAGACACTAGTACTACTATCAGTAGCACTGCTGATGTGGTGATGCCAATAAAATAATAAAATCAATTGAAGTCTTCCTGCCTGCTTTTCTGAGACAGGTGGCTCTTTGGAAAATTTCCATGTTCATGTGTCCTGCTGTGCAATCCCTTGTTCCATGGCTGCTGACCCCTTTCACACCGCAACTTAGCTTCACTCCAAGCTGTGACTTAGCACTAAAGTAGACCAAGAAAAGAGCTTTGGGTGAAATGGCATCCATAGGGACTGGTGGCTTTCTGAAGGGCCACCTGACACCTATGCTCATGAGGTGTCACTGTGTCTCCTTGTACCAGCTGAGCAGACCCGGGCTATTTTCTCTACAGGATGCTGTTGATACCATCAGTGTCTGAACTGAGGCGGTCATTGCACATATCACCTTGCATCACTGTTCTCCAAGTCATCTCTGTATTTCAAATATATGCAACTTGAGATCTGATATTCTTTTTTGCTACTGAGCTGTTATAGTGAAGGTCCTCAAAATATCCCCGCTAGGGCAAGCAAAGATGTCATAAAGTAGTACATTCATCCAGGAAAATATAATTTTGCTTTTCTTGAAGAAATTCACAAACTTATCTGAATGTTTTCTGGTAAAAATATTCTTCTAGCCAAAAAGTCAAATCTTAGCATGTACAAATGTTATTATAATGCTATCTTCTTTTGTAATAAGAAGCACTCTTTTCATGAAGTGACTATGCATATCGGAGGGAAGCTTGGGATATGAGACAATGCTGAGAAGATAAGATTGTGTAGATAGAGAAGTACCAGAGAAAAAGAGGATTTTTTTTGTGTAAACCTGGAAAAGAACCTTGCCTTTAAAACTGTTACTCTACCTGTGTAATATAAAGCAGAATCCAGTTTCACTGAAGTTTATGCAACAGTTATGAAGGAAGAAATAAGAAAAGAAATGTACTCTTAAAGGATGATTGACTAGGGCTTTCTCTTCATGTTGAAAGAAAGTGTAGCTCACTATAGATTCCAGATCTGTGCAGTGACAGTGGTTACAGATGCATCAAAGACAGGATTTCTGGTCTTCATACTGCATTAAAAATATGCTGCAGATAAATGATGAAAAAATATTTTTATTAATTATTGTTTAAAATGGACATGCCCTTGCATACAGCAGAATTAATACTTTCTTTATTTCCACACAGCCGAGGCAATGAGAATAGACTAGCACTACGACGACAGACCATTCTCCGGGAGAAGGGGAGGAGGCAGGCCAGTCGAGGGCCAGCGTATATGTTTAATGACCGCTCAACAAGTCTTTCTCTTGAGGAGGAACGCTTTTTGGATGCAGCAGAATATGGAAATATCCCGGTGATTCGCAAAATGCTAGAAGATTGCCCCTCACTCAATGTCAATTGTGTGGACTATATGGGGCAGAATGCCTTGCAGCTAGCAGTTGCCAATGAGCACCTGGAGATCACAGAACTTCTACTGAAGAAAGAGAACCTGTCTCGGGTTGGGGATGCCTTGCTTTTGGCTATTAGCAAAGGTTACGTTCGGATAGTGGAAGCCATCCTAAACCATCCCGCATTTGCCGAAGGCAAGAGGCTTGCATTAAGTCCAAGCCAGTCAGAGCTCCAGCATGATGACTTCTATGCATATGATGAAGATGGAACACGGTTTTCCCATGATGTTACACCAATCATCCTGGCTGCTCACTGCCATGAGTATGAGATCGTCCACACTCTGTTGAGAAAAGGGGCTCGGATCGATAGGCCACATGACTATTTCTGTAAGTGCAGTGAATGCAATCAGAAACAAAAGCATGACTCTTTCAGCCATTCTCGGTCCAGAATCAATGCCTACAAAGGTCTAGCCAGCCCCGCTTATCTGTCTTTATCCAGTGAAGACCCCGTAATGACTGCCTTAGAGCTCAGTAATGAGCTGGCCGTGCTTGCTAATATTGAAAAAGAGTTTAAGGTGAGTAGAACGATACCTATTCTGACAGACACAGAATTATGAAGTTCAATTAAAGGCTTTTCTCGTGTTCCTTGAACAGGAAGACATTGGCATCATCTTCATTAATAAGAACAATAACACGGGGAAATGTGTAATTGTTTCATGAATGGAACATTTAAATTTCTGGGAACTTATTGCTCTGTGCTGATTGTAATTCATACTGTGTGTGTAGAAGGTGCCAGTGCCACATCCTATCAGGCAGGATAGTAAAGGAGGCACAACCTGACCTTCAAACTTGTGGGAGAAGCTGGTTTATGACAGGAGAAAGAGGAGACTAAGGTGGGACAGTTTTGTCACTTATGCAAGGCAAATTGAAAAATTCTACTCAAAACCTCACACATTCATTATTTTCTCATAGTTGAACTGAAAACTTTTTGTCATTTCTTACAACATTTTACAGTTATTCACTAAAAGGACTCTAAATAATGTCCTTCTTTTCCCTTTTAATGCATAGCTTTTCTCTTGTGTTTCTACTCATCTCTTCTTGTCTTTTACTAATTTATACTTGGTTATAGTTGAACTCAGTGAAGTTAAAGACTTTTTCAATGTTATACAGAATTTGTAATGTTACAAAAATGCATGATTTTGAAACAAAATCAGCAGACCCAGAGATTCAGTGCCCATTAGATCTTTGGAGCGTGAATGTTCTTTTTTTTTTTTTTTTGTGAGTGTGTGTGTGGGGATACACTGGTGCGCAGCCTAAAAAAATATGCACCCCAGTTTATTTCTATTATTTAAGACGGTAAGAACCATAGATAGAAGCTTTTTGCTTTCAGTAACTGCCACGTGGGCCTTGTTGAAACATAAGCATTGTTAATTATGACAAAACATAAGCATTGTTAATTATGACACTGTTGTGGTTTAACCCCTTTTGGTTAATTAACTAAGAACCAGCTAAGAACCCACAGACTCTCTCTCACTGCTCCACCAGTCAGACAGTTTCATAAAAAAAAAAACAAACAGCTGTTATTGTTAAACATAACATCATATGGTATGTGACATCCCTTTGGCCAGTCTGGGTCAGCTCCTGGTTGTGTCCCCTCCCAGCTCCTGGTGCACTCCCAGGTATCTCGCTGGCAGGGCAGCACCAGGAGCTGAACAGTCCTTGGTCTGTGTGAGCGCTGCTCTGCAGCAACTAAAACATCAGTGTGTTATCACCAATATTTTCATCCAAAATCCAAACATACAGCATGATACAAACCTCTATGAAAAAAAAAAAAAAACAACAAACAAACAAACAAACAAAACTCAATCCCTGCCCAAACCAGGACACTTAGATTAACTAACATCACTTGAACTGGGACCCTGTTGAAAGAAGGTGCTAATATATGATATTACTGTGACACAGCATGATATCTAGACTTCTCTACCAGGAGATCAAACCCTCTCCAAAGCATTAAAAGAATCATTTCTTATGTTGTGTTAGGAAGAGTGTGAAGTTGTCTTGATCGATATTTAATGTTAATCTTTTAAACACGGCTTTTAAGCACAGTTCTCAAGGTCATGAACCTGTCTTTGCTTAGCTGACTTGAGCTGAGATGCTGCAAATCTGAATTAGTTGCTCCTAACTCATGCTTGCACTGTATCTTTGTGGCACCAATCCATATACAGGAAGCTGAAATCTTTCTTTAGGAGGGAAAAAAAATGAGGTGGAATGTGCAAGGGGATCTAGAAAACAAGAGTTAAACTGCTGAATAGGAACAGGGGAGAATTTTTATTTTACATCAATAAGACCAATGTCTGGAAAAAACATTTCAGCTTAATGCAGAGGATAAAAGTCTGCCCCATGGAGTCCCTGGCAGAAATCATTAGGACCTTGGGACAGAGGTTTTATCCAGTGCTTGCACGTACAGTTTAGAGAAAAGTATTTAAACCACATACTCTTGTTTCTTTTGCTTTAGCAGCTGCTGAAGATATGAACAAAAGGACTTGATTAACTTAAAGGGGAGTAAATTTAGAACAGAAGAGAAAAACATTTTTATACACCATAAATGCAGCCTGTTAAGTTCACAGCTATGTTGAGATCAATGGCATGTCTGATTTGTAGGGACTGTAGCTCCGTTTACCACAGTTGGAGCGACACAAGTTAAGATTTTTAAATAAAATCATCATCTGGAACTGTCAGCAAGAATTGTTCTTCAGATGTGTGCTGCAGTACAGAACTGAAGGGGTGAACAGGGGGCACAGTATTTGTCCCTGGTGCCACCAGGGCCAGGAAATGCAGCACAGGTGTGAGAAAAGATGGACTGGTTCAGACAACAGGCTTCTGCAGCCTGCACTGCTGTTCCATGAGGAGGACGTTATACTGTGTGACCTGGCTCAACCTCAAGTGACCTTTAAAAAAAAGTTCCTCTTTTGTTGCGGTTGTCTTCTGCTTAGAGGATAATATTGTGTGAAGAATTGCAAATGAGATTTTAAGGTACTGTCACTCAGCAGAAGCAGGAGGCTGGACAAGAGGCAGAGCAGCTCTGTATTGCTGAGCATAAGTCAGCCAAGTTCTGCTGGGGATACACACGTGCTTTAGGGTAGGGTGAAAGGAATAGGAACAGTGAGGAGCAGGAGCACAAGGCAACGCAGAAGTTTAAGTCTCTGTTAATTTAAGGTTTAACCAGGAGCAGTCAGCTGGCGACGTAAGGTCTTTCAGAAACATTTTTGTAAGTACTAAAATGATAAGGCCATTCTGGATAAACATTAAAGACAGGGGAATATATTTATACATGTATGTGCAATGAAAAATGTTAACATTTACACTGTACGTAAGTAGTGACATTTACAATATCTACACAACCTTGGGGCTTGACTGCAAACTACCTGGCTTAGGTTCAATGCAGACAGTACAAAGGTTGTGTTTACAAAGCTGCAGGAAATGGACACCATCATCTATTCTGTCTGGGCTTGTCTGTGATCCTGTCAGCTCGTATCACTGCTCATATCCCAGCAATTTATCTAAAAAATTGTTACCCTTACTTTCTTCAGGAGTTGGCTACAGTTGTTCAGAGTGTAGATTATGAATAAAAATGTAGATTTGGTTAAAATGTGTTACACATGTTAGTGTAATCAAAGAATGTCTTCTGTGCATGGATTAGCTGGACATGGTAAATCTTCAGCTCCACCTAGGGTTTACCTGAGCCATTTGAAATATTCTAAAACATTTCTAAATGAAAATTGAGTTTACTGGCAATATACTGTTTTAAAATTCACTTATTTTTCAGTGCTGATGGAGTATTATTTGAGATAACACTAACCATGAAACTGTGATTCAGACCCAAATTCAAATCCCATACTCAGCAGAAAGCACTATTCTCTGGAACAAGCTCCTTTCTTTGCTTCAGACATCTGTAGGAATTGTCCTTATACATGTTTTGGAGGATAATTCTTTATTATATAATACATAAATATAATACAGAAAAAAAGTAGAGGATGACTGCTGAAGAAAGAGTAACTGGACTGTTGTGTGTAGTATTTCTGTACCAAGCACACAGTTAATTTAGGCTTCCCGAGAAATTTTGAAATCTGCAAGATTTTCTGAAAGCCATTTAATTTAACTTTGTACAACATAGCCAAGTGAGCAGTTTTATGAGGTTTGATAGCATATGAAACCTTATTTGGAGTATTGTGTTTGTATTTTCTTTCATCTAAATTCTTTGCCCACCCTAGAGCTAATATCTCTGCTCTGTCCATAAGTATGAAGATTATATCTGACAAATGTTGTCCTGCAGAGATGTGGCCTGGAGTTTTGAGAGGGACAGCTGTGGCCCAGCGCTGTTCAAAAAGGATAAGATTTGCATTGAATGCAGAGTTCTCTGCAGCTATAATGGCAACACACTGTTTTATTATATAATGTGATGGAGTGGAAAAACATTTTTTTTTTTTCAATAAATGTAGATGCGTTGCTGTTTGGTGTAAATTAATACCCCAATAAAGTCTTTTAAGTTTTCTTTCCTGATGAGAATCAAAACCCAAACTATCAACTCAAAGCCTGATTTTCTGTTTGTTTTTAGTTAATCCTTGTTACAGAACTAGGGTCCCAAGTCTTGATTGCTCTTTTAGAAAAAGGTTATCATCACCTTTTAGAGATGAACACCTGAGACATGGAAGGGGTAAAGGCTTCATTTGTAAGGGGGAAAATATGTTTCTCTACCTACTTAGATGCCTAGGTCCAACATTTAGGACCCACTTTTGGGGGGTCCCTACCAACGCACTGGTAAATCCTAAATGCACCAGGAGCCAGTGGCTTTTCACAGGAGGCAGCATAGAGAGGGCTCCTTTCTTCTAGGAGGATCAGCTGTGGTGGTGCCAACACTGCTGTCCTGCTCATGGGGTCGGAGGTGAGGCAAACGGCTGGCCCAGGATGTGGTCGGCCCAGTGGCCTCTGCTTTCCTACCCAGACCACCAGGACAGACTGCCAGGAAGGACAGGTGACACTGCTGGACACAGTGTCCACTGCCATCCCCATCCCTCCTGTCATTCCTCTGCCACCAGGGTCCTGTGCATCCCTTCTCCAGAGTGCTCACCCCAAACCTTCACCTTCCTTTTGCAGGGTGGGAGCAGCCTGGGGTGCTGATCCCTCAACCTTGGTGTGCCAACATTTGGCAAAGTGGAGATTTTCCTGAACTTCAGAGAAGCCTGGAACCAACTTTGTCACACATAAAATAAAGCACACACCTACCTGCTTGCAGAATTAAGGGCTGATTCTTTTGAGCCTCTAAATGTAAATTAATTGCAAACTGGCTTTTTAAGTCTTGTAGGGCTGCTTTTTTAATTCATTGTTTATGATTTGCAGTAAAAAGACAAAAACAAAAACACAAACTTGTGGAATTCTCAATGTGCTGTTGGCTATTTTAGAAAGTGAGTTAAGCCAAACAAATTACCATTTTCTCTTGGTTCACATTAATGGTAAGAGACAGGAGAACTGGAGGGGAAGTGACTGTGCATCTGTGACTGAGACAGGGAGACAGTGAGAAGCATGTATTGCAATTAACCATTTCAGCTGTTACTACACATTTTTGTGCACTGAGGAAACAAGGGACACAGAAAAAAATATATATTCTTCATTAGAATAAAGAATTTTGTTTGGAAAATGGCCAAAGGCATTGGTGTCCACCGTGGGGTAATGATCTCCTCACATACTGTTTTGAAAATCCTCAAAATCCAAAATGTAATGTCTCAGTCACCAGTGTGACTGTGCATGCACATATGTTTATCACATATATTTATCAGCCTAGAACTGTTCATTGTACCTAAAAAGGTACATAGGTACATAGGCTCATTCTTTGTTTTTCCTTTGCCTGGGAATCTCAAAAAGCTGCTTTTCCTCTAACTCTGGGAACATTTCAGTATTAAAAAGATTGAATAGTAAGTCTTACCTTAGCCACTGGTACAAAAATGAAAGCCAAACAGAAGGTGATATATTACTCTCAAGAAGCGTCTTTCTAAATTGCCAAGACGTTGGGATTTTGGTTAATCTCTATAGTTATTCATTTGAATAGAGAGAAAACAAATAATACAACAGTAAAATATACAACATGTTGTGAAAAAGTTAATTTTATTGTTTAGTTTCTGTCTTCTCTGCAGAGAAATACAAAATTCTGACAAATCTGAGCTATCTTGCTTACATTACATTATTAAACATATAAATCACAAACACTTATGGAGTCCTATAGTGGTATGTGTATGCATCTATGAATATTTGCATCCATATAAGTGAAGTGAAATGTAAAACTCAGACGCAATCCTTTAATATATCCAAGTAATAAACTCCTGGTACGTTATGTTTAATAAAGAACAAATATATATGAATTATACTCTCAGCAAATAAATTAGGATATTCTGCATACTACAGATAATGGTTTGTATTCCTGGCTGTGCATTAGTTGGCAGTTAGTATAAGGAAGTATTTTAAAAAGAATGGTAGAAGAGAGAATGCTATGAAAAACAGACCAGAAGAGGGAGAAATGTTCCACTGTAGTAACAGTGTTTGTAGAAGGTGACTTTGAACATGAAACTAGAGACTGCATGAGCACTTCTGTATGACTTTTGTTGTTATTGTTTTTTGCTTCATTCTTTTGTTTGGGAAAAAATGTACAGTAATTACATCTTTTTAAGACATTAAAAATTAGTAAAAATTAGTCAATTAAAATTATTAAAATTATTAAAAATTAAAAAACATCAGAAGATTGTGACATATGAATAAGAAAATCTCTCAAAAGAACTAAGCAGGGGGTAATACGTCTATACACATTATTTAGCTTTAGATTTACATCTATATCTGTATGCATCTGTCTACCTATCTACCTAATTTAACTTTAGTGACCCAAACACAGCTGTGAGCAAGTAGTGGTTAATGAATTGTGGTTTACAGTGACAAATTTGGTAATCAGTGACTGAGAAAAATAATAGGTAATTAAAGTAATAACCAACTGAACTTGCCATTACAGGGCAACATTTTGGCTGACTCATCAAAGTCTGAAATAGTCATTAAAATACAGTATTTCTAAAAGTTTCATTCAAGTTTTTATTGGATATAAAGTAAGTCTTGAGAAGTAACCTAGATGTAAAACTTGATGGTCTAAATGACCAAGATGAGATGTATCCTAATCTTTGTGAACATTCAGGGGAAGTAAATGCTGGATAGAAAAGTGCTGTTAACCTACAACAAGAAAGCAAAACAAAATGCAAAAAAACTATTGATGCTCAACAAATGTACAACTGGAATACAGAAGTATTTCTCTGTTAGTTCTAAACATCAATTCACTTTCTTTCTTCCTTTCTTTTCCAGAATGATTACAAGAAATTGTCTATGCAATGCAAAGATTTTGTAGTTGGACTCCTTGATTTGTGCAGAAATACAGAAGAAGTGGAAGCTATTTTGAATGGTGATGTAGAGATGAGCCATAATAATGGAGAACATGGTCGCCCCAGCCTTAGCCGCTTAAAACTTGCCATTAAATATGAAGTAAAAAAAGTAAGTGATTATGTTGATAGCATGAAATCATGGGATTATTGAATGTTTATGGTATCGTAGCTTTTGACATTTAAATGAACATTTCAGCCCTTCTATCAAGTGTATTTTACAAACAAAAGAATACTCACCCCAAATAGCTTACAGTATGAACAAGAAATGTTCAATGCAGGGTGGATACTGGCCACAGTGAGTATGCAACTTAATGGTTCTAAGAAAATACTAGCTGTATGCAAATTTTTTAGGTATTTACTTGGTTTTAGTTTTAGTGTACTTAAAAAAAAAATAAAAAGGTGGAAGAAATTTGTAGTAATTCTGAAGCCTGGGAAAGTATAAGATTTAATAAAAAACAGATGATAGCACAGCAGTCTTGTGCTATTGATACCCATTTTTTGTCAGGCTGTTATGACTTACTTAGAAAATTGAGAGAACTTAATGAAACTATGTGTGTCACAGAAAATGTATATTTTTCTGTATGGATAATTGGAGACACAATCTAGGAGTAAAAGTACTACAGTGGGCTCTAGGCATCAGGCAGTGTTGAAAACATGACATCACTTCTTTGGCTGACTTTCCATTTCCATTGCCAATTTAAGTCTTTGGTCTGCATTTGAAATGGATCAAGCTGAGTTAGTAGCTACACCCAGACTCTTGAATTACCCAGAAGCTTCTCTTGGATAATATAGGTTGATAAATTCCATATTATGTATATATGTGAGAAATTATTTGATGAAGTTTGTGCAAATGAGGGACACGAGGATTTAGTTCAGGAACAGGCTTAGAAAGCAGGTTACCCTAAAGTAGGGCTATCTGATCTCAGAGCAGAAAGATCTTTGATAAAATTTCTACATAACGAAACAAATCAGATCAATACGGTGAAAATAATCAATTGCTTATTTTAATGAAAAAATAGAAATGGAATCAGAATGCATAAAAATCCAGTATGGACTGAATATACAGATCTAGTTTGTACAGGAAGAGCTTCAAATTTTTTATGGAAATGGAGTTCACATCTCTGGGTCAAACCTTAAAAATTGATATGTGAGCAATATTTAGCGTTCATGAATGAAAGAAAAGAAGAAAACCTTTTTGACTGAGGAGCACCTACCAGCAAATGAACACAAACATGCAAAACATTTGGAAAACAAAGTTCACTAAAGAGAGCTAAAAAAACTTCCAAAGGGAACATACAACATTGAACATGTCCTTCGTAGTGTTTGAGTCTTTATCCTGCCTTGAATGGGAACTTGCTGTCAACGTTTTCCATTGCCTGTTAGATGACATTTCTTGCAACTTCAGCAAGTCACATAAAAGAGAATAAACTATTCCTGAAAAATCTACTGGATTCAGTTAAACTTTTAATTATATTTCCATGTTGAGATTTAAACTTTAATGCACAGAAGAATCCACCATTTATTAATACTACCATTTGAAGATGCTTCTTATACTCTCCAGAAGTTTTGACAGAAAAGAGGGCTGCAAGTCTAACTTTTCAGTTTTGCAGTATATGTCTAAAAGATTCCATAACCAAGTTACAAATAGCCCTTCCTCGATTTCCTGCAGAAGTGACAGTGGTATTCTTATGCCAGCTGAAAAAGTGATATTTTCCAACATGGCATGTGAAAATACGGTGGATTTTTTCTTTCATAACTGAACTCTGTATAGCATCATTTGCAAAACAGAAAGACTTAAAGTTTTGGAATTTCTGAGGTAGCAACATGAAAATCAGAGATGTAGGAAGCAAGTGGAGTTTGCACAGATAAAGTTGATGGATAATTACGCTTAGAAGGAAATTAGTTCATGATGGACCCCTTTTTTAAGGTTAATGTATTTATTGTTGCTAATAGCAACAAGCCCATTGCTGGGAGATTACACTCATCAAAAAACTTTTTTCTTATACCCCTGTTAATGCTCCTTTGAATATAAGCTGAGTTTTTTCTAGTTCCACAGTCCAAACACACTGCACATGGCTGCTATTTTAATAAAAGATATTCTAATAGTAATATTCTGTTGTGTTTCTTTTCTCTGTTACAGTTTGTAGCACATCCCAACTGCCAGCAACAACTTCTCTCAATCTGGTATGAGAATTTGTCAGGTTTGCGGCAGCAGACCATGGCAGTGAAGTTTCTAGTTGTTCTCGCTGTTGCAGTAGGACTGCCCTTCCTTTCAATGGCTTACTGGATTGCTCCTTGCAGTAAGGTCAGTTGACGAAATCTTGTAATGGCCATTTATTAATATTTATAACATTTCCATGTAGATTCCTGTCTGGCAAAGATGAAGCATGGATATATGTATAAGTTACTGGTGTGCTCAGATGATGCTTCAGAAATGTGTTATTTTAAAGCTGGGTTAGAACAGAATGGCTGCAGTATTACATGTTCTGACAATTGTAATTATGACAGGTAACTGTATTGTGTTAAATGCAAAGTATATTAAGTTAAGTTACCATAGCTGAACAGGAGTCATCTTGTAGAAACTGTAGAAACAATGAGTCAAACTATTCTTCATTTAGTTGCTGCATTAGTAGTCAAGTGCTGACTACTAATCCTCATTTTCCATTTTTCAGAAATAGACCAAGTTCAAGCTATGGGTTGATTCTAATTACCTCAAAGGCAATTTTATTTTTGATGATGGAAAATGAGTAGATAAAGGTCACAAGATCATGAAGCCAGAAATTAGCACAATCATAATTGGTTTCCTAGTCAAGGTGGATTGTGTTGGCTTGTCAAGACGGTGCTGTGGCTCATTGTATTCCATTAGGTTTTTAAAGCAGCCACGCAGCCTCTCTTGCATCCATTTATAACATGATGTCGTTTGGATTTGGATGCTACCACTTTATCTCTTTGGGTGACATATAGACTGTGGAAAGCCTTTCCACTGTGGACAGTTTACAGTCTCTAATCTCTCCAAACTTTGTGTTGAAACTCTGTTTTAGTTGGTTAGCCACTATCCATTGCAAATGGACACTGATGGAAATTTTCCTCTGAGAGTATATTAGAAGGAACAAATGGGATCTTCCTCTGAGAGTATATTAGAAGGAACAAATGGGATCTTATAAGGATCTCACAGAGCACAATATAATATCTATGATTTTAGCAGGCTGAATCCAGTGCACATATGATTCCAGGGATAGAGGAAGTTTCAGAGAGGATTGAAGTCTTTTTTCTTTTTTTCTTTTATTGTTCTGTGAGAGGGAAAAGGTGGGTCTTTTCTGTTTTGCTGTATTTTTCATTTCTTTCAGTACGAACAATAAAAATCAGTTATATCATTTTCAATTTTCTATATAGTGACTAGGATTTTTATGAATGTTTTTGTCTGAAAACGCACCCTGAGATTCAGCACTTTAGTAATTGTTTTTCAGCTATAGCAGTGACTTGTCTATTTGTCATTTCCCTTTTTTAACGATTTATTGGATCTTAAAGTCATTTTGAACAATCATACATTCTAGAAAAGCTATTTCAAAGTAGCTTTTCAAGTCAAGTTTCAAGGGACAACATCCTTTAACATTTCACTTCATCTGTTCCTTTTCAATCATCTCATCCTGTGATCTATATGTTGGATGTTTCATTATATTCTGCAAATATAAAATTCAATCCATCTTTTTAAACAGTTGCAATTTCTTTTCTTGTACTTCACTCATACTTCAAAATGTTTCTTTTTTTTTTTTTTTTTTTTTTTTTTTTTTAGGACAAAAATGTCCTAGGATTGCCATAGGATTGCTCCAATACAGAGCGTTATCTATATCTATAACACTACCTATCTATGGAGTTCATTCTGTCTAAGAACTGATGGAATTTTATAATTTCTTTTTCCTACCGAGATAAATTACCCATATTTTTTCCAGATATGGAACTGTAGGTCTCAGTGACAGCAGGAAGAGAAGACAGTATTTATGGTGAAAATAACAGCTGGCATTGAAGTTATTCTGATACTTTTCTTTAAATTCTCATGCCATTTCTGAGAAAGGCAAAAAAAAGGTGCAGCCTTACTGTCTTTGTAACAGTTACAACATCTCAGACAGTTACTTGTACAGCTATACACTTTTCTTTCTAGGAAAAAAAGCACAAAACAAAAGAAAACAAAAACTTACTTTGAGCTTGACGTGCATATTGGGAGTTTCACATCTGGAAGAAATTTCAGAGAAAGCTGTGGACAGAGGCCTGTTGATTTGGCAGGAATTCACCCGTGTTAGATTCTGAACAACAAATGTCCTCTTAGTGAGTGATCCACTCAGCTTAGCTGGTGATCCACTTAGAGGCACTTCAACAGTTTTGTGAACTATTTGCTCTGATTTTCTATCTGTTAGTTTAGTTTAACTACAGACATAATTAACCCAAACCTTCTCAAATACTATTTAGTTGCACGACATTTTGAAAGACGAAATATTATTTTCACTTTTGTACAAGAATCTTTATAAAGTTTGAGCTCTTCAGTTATAATTAATAATAGAATTTATATTAATAATTTTATGAATTTATGCATAATTCAGTCAACCTCTGCTCAAGATGGGGATCTGAATTTGAAATTCAGTCTTCTTTTTCTGTTCCCATCCCATTGGTGTTGGGATTTCTGAAAAAGTAACATCAGTCCCTATGTGTTTCTAGAATGTTCTGAGAGTTGTACATACTCTATTTCACTGCAGTGGAAGAAAAGAAATTTAGTGTTATGTCCAGTACATGAGGGGCTTGGAAAATGTTCCCCCTAAAAAGTATATGCATTATCCCTTTTTGTTACCAGTCTTTTTTCCTTTGTGACAGATGTACTACCCAGAGACCTATTTTATCTTCTCTATATCAGTGCCATACTCTATAATGTTATGATACAGACTGTTTCTGCAGATTCACATGGAAGGACTAAAAGGACTAATCATTGACTAAAGTCCTCAGACACTTTAGGTGACCTTATGTATGGGGTATATGCAATATAACTAACCATATCTTGTCCTAGAATCATAGAATCTTAGAATGTCCTGAGCTGGAAGGGTCCCATGAGGATCGAGTCCAACTCCTGGTTTCACACAGGGCAACCTAAACAAAAATCAATATATAAAGTGTGTCTAAACTATAGTACAAAGTATCAGAAACCATCAAAAGCACTTAAGGTACAGAAAGAGAGCATTTAGAACACCATGTCCTTGATCTCTGCAATGGGAAGGAATTTATTATGTCAAACTGCTAAGTGAAAGTCTATTAAAGAAGGACTCTAGCTTATAGAAAAGTCTCAACATCCTGAAAGATCATGCAGTGTTTTACATTTTCTTGCTCAGAGTCCTATTTTCTGACCTATGTCCCCTGCATAAAGAGATTCAGGATTTAAAAAGTGCCATTTCAAGATTTTCTTGGATCACTTACATGTACCAATGTCCTAGTAACTTCCAGAATTTGTGTGATCAGTCAGGTGTGGTCAGTTCTGCCTCCAGGGAGTATTTTACTACATTATTTTGCTATTTTTTTGTTTTTGGAAGGGGTGGGGATCTAGGAGTTCAGTTTACGATCAAGAGGTATATTAACACTACTTCTCTCAATATTTTTTCTTTTTTCCTGGCTATGACTCTTTCTGGCATCTGTCTCATAACCCATCTTCGTTTGTGAACACAAGCTTAGTGCATTTAAAAGGACACTGTCAAGGTACTTTATCTTCCAACTCTGCTTTGTTCCATGTTGTTTATGACTGTTCCTTGCTAGACTGAAACAAAATATTTTCCCATGACAAATATCTGCTCTTTTTTGTAGTTAACACAAAATAATTGGTTGTTGAAGATTGTCTCAGAAAACAATGAGAAACAATGAATGACATGGATTTGCAGAATAATATATAAAGGAGAAAGAAGATCAAATGTTGTGCCTGCTAACCTTGACAGTGTTCCTTTAAGAGTACCTTCTTTTTATATTTGTCTAATTTTCTTAATGTTTTCTGTGCCTCAGACCTTACCATTGCATCCTCTTATTCTTTGTTTCTGTAAAAGCTGATTGTAAAGTTGGCATAAATCTGATTTTGATATTGAAACAAGTGTAGCAAAAATGCTTATGGCAATAATTCATCTTTCTGCCTTCCCTCCTTTTTTCCAGACCACAAATAGTCATATATTTCACCTGGGATCTGTGACACTTGCTTTTAATTCTTTCCATGAAATTTTTGTCAAGATGCTATGAGAGTATTTTTCTTCAGCTGCCAACTCAGTGAACTAGCTAAGACTTTTGCTATTAATACCGGCACTCTTAAGCTATCCCCTATAGTAAATAACTTCTTAAAGTTCAGCCTAGTGTGAACTGCTATGGAACTTTTAGTTTTTTTAAGTGTCATGCTAAACTGTTTTGAAGCCATGCATAGTCATCACAAGGTTGAGGATGTTTCCATTAAAGGAGTCAGGAAGGAAATTAAGACACTACAGAACTATAAACATACCCTCCTGAGGCCTAACGACATTTTTTTAAAAAGGGAGTAAGCTGGAAAAACTGCAAAATAACTGTGCTGAACAGTATCATGTCAGTCAGGAAACAGAATTCTTTAGTCATAATGTACTCCTGATGATAATTCAATGCCTTTAGTAAGTGTCAAAATCCCATTTTCTTTTCTGCCTCATAAAGATCACTGGAAAGTAAATTTGGAAGATATTTAACAACTATAATAAATATTTCTCTTGATTACCCATAATAGACATAAAAATGCCCCAAAAGAATTATAGAATTGTTTCAAAACACTGAGTTAAAAATACATATATGGTGAAACTGAGAATCAAAATTATCCCTCTGAAAACGGGAAATAAGCAGAAACTTTTAAATGTGGTTATCAGTATGGCATCATAGTACAATTTTTTTCCAAGACTTTGTTCCTTTGTATTATTGAAACATACATTTCTCTGTGTTCCTGTTCTTTTTATACATTCTTATTTTGGAAGAAGGCGATGCAATATCTTTTTGTTTTATAACCTCTGTTGCAGCTGGGGAGGATAATGCGTGGACCATTTATGAAGTTCGTAGCCCATGCAGCTTCTTTCACCATTTTTCTTGGTCTGCTTGTCATGAATGCAGCTGACAGATTTGATGGCACCAAACTCCGACCTAACGAAACAACAGGCAATGTCAAACAACTATTTAGGATGAAAACATCCTGTTTCTCCTGGATGGAGATGCTCATTATTTCTTGGGTAATAGGTAAATATTAGTTTTTGCTTAAAATTGTCTTACTATGATTTCAATGAAGCTGGACCGAATTTAGTCCTTTGCTATTAAAGTTACATGTAAAAATTGCATCAAAGAGAATTTATTCAACCAGCTGCATTCCCACATTGGCCTCGTGTTTCTTACTGGATGTCAGCAGGCCTTCACATGTGCTTCATTACACACATTCAGATTAGTCACAAATATTCAGGTTAATCACAATCACAAACATGCAGGTTAAGGATGTTGGTGAAATTTTCATCATCCAAATATGAACAAATGCAATTTTATGAATGTCAAAGGAAATTATCTACTTTTTTTTTTATTATTATTATTTTTTATTTTTTGAGTCAGGCTGAGTATCAGCTCTCAAGGGGAAGGATTTCTATATCATGGGCCAAGGTTTTTTTATTCAGTTGTCTCTTTCTGATAAGATTTTCTTACTTTGCAAATATTTCTTCAGAATTAGTGGTTTATAGCTTAATGTGTTGTTGTTTGACAAAAGAGAAGCAGCGTATAGATCCCTCAGTATTCAGCTGTGGATTATTCCATCCCAGCATAGGGATGAAGTGAATGCTATGAATAGTAGTTTGGTATGACCCATTCAATGCAGTGACTAAATATTACTGCACATAAGAACTTGAGCACAGAACCTCAAATATATCTTATCTGTATGATTCCTATTTGCAAGTCTAATTCCATTTATTTCAGTGAGGTTTAGATTCCCAAATATTTTAAGGACCTGGGTTTCGGATGTTAGTTAAGTCAGTAAATATGAGAGTTACATTCAAGATAAGGAATCTGCTTCCAGCTTATGAATTTAAAAATTTTTACTTTTATGAGCTATTTTTTAATTGGAGACATTTGCACATCAACTGAATCATACAGCTTTGAAAGACATTGACAATTGTTATTTATTTCATCAGATAGCTGTATAAATGAATATAATTGTGTATTGTGGGAATAATGATACTTAGATTTCCAAATCTTCTATAAATATTAATGAATGACCTGATAATAAGGGACTAAACAATATTTTTCCAATTTAAATTGGAAATTTCCAATTTAAGCTATTCTTATTTATTTATTCTTATTTATTTCAGTATCATGCAGAAGTAGGAAATGATTTAAGAAAAATTAATGCAGTGCATACAGATATAGTATGGGATTTAATTATTGTAATTAACATTATAATTGTTCTTATCTGAGAAGTGATGAAAAGATCTTTCAGATGGTTCGATAAGTACAAAAAATGGTGACATTACAATTTGCTTTTCTCTTGTTAGCTCTCTTAAGAATTCAAGAAATTTAGTGCATGATTAAATACATTTTATCTTGAAAAGGGAAAGGATTTGCTCAATAAAAAAGATGCCATAAATGATACTGCATTCCTAGATCTTATTATGTTTATTTTCTATTTAATAATTAATATTAATAATTAGGAATGAAACAGATACCTTTGCCCTGTTGACAAAATATTGGGTCTGATTCCTACTTGCACACTTGTTTATCATACAGACTATACTCAGGGTGCTCTGCAAATGGGAAAATGTGACTTCTGCTATCAGTTCTGCTACTGCAATACAATCACGTCATTACTCCTCTTTCAGTCTCATTCTGTGTTTTTAACAGATGGGAATACTCACTACCCATTCTTTCTTTGAAATCTTTTGGAGTTGAACAGGCAAAAACAGTATAAAAGATTGTTATGATTACTCAAATGAAGTAGAAGTAGTGGCATATATATATATATATATGTTTTATATATATACATTAATTAACAGATTCAAGGATTTTAGTGTGTGTTCAAAGTCCCAAAGAGCAAAATGGTTTTGAGTTTGACTGAAATCAAGAGCATCTAAACATAATAAAGTATCATATAAAATGAACATGAAGCTAAACAAACATGCTGTTTTTTTTTTTTTTTTCTTTCACAGGCATGATATGGTCTGAATGTAAAGAAATTTGGTCTCAAGGTCCAAAGGAATACCTTTTTGAATTATGGAATATGCTTGATTTTGGCATGTTAGCAATTTTTGCAGCATCATTCATAGCAAGGTTTATGGCATTTTGGCATGCGTCTAGAGCCCAGAACTTGGTTGATGCAAATATGAAAGACCTGTCAAGTCCAACACTGGAGCCCAACATAAAATACTACACCTTGGGTGAGTTGATTGCACATGGTTTGAATGTGTTTCTTGGGCCAAGAATTGATTTTCTGTAATTAGTACATTAGTTCTACAATGTAATTGTTAAAGAAATTCCCATCCCTGCTTTTCTTTCTCATCTCTACTACTTGTTCACAGTTCCCTTGGCTATGCTCATACATCTCTTTGGGGATTATTCTGGGCATCAGGCACTAAAATCAGCTTAAGTTCAAAATAGCCCCACTGTCATCACCCCACCCATAAAGATTCTCTTTAATATCTTTATTGGTGATCTGGATGAGGGGATTGAGTGCACCCTCAGTAACTTTGCAGATGACACCAAGCTGGGTGAAAGTGTTGAACTGCTTGGGTGCAGGAAGGTTCCACAGAGGGATCTGGATAGGCTGGACTGATAGGCCAAGGCCAGCTCTATGAACTTCAACAAGGCAAAGTGTCAGGTCCTGCACCTGGGGCACAACAACCACATACAACACTACAGGCTGGGAGATGAGTGGCTGGAAAGCTGCTCGGTGGAAAGGAATCTGAGGGTATTGGTTAAGAGCCAGATGAATATGAGCCAGGTCTGTATTTGGGTGGCCCAGAAGGTCAACAGCATCCTGGCTTGTATCAGAAATTAAGCGGTCACCAGGACTAGGGAAGTGATTCTCCCTCTGTACTCAGCCCTGGTGAAGCCACACATTGAGTACTGTGTTTGGGTTTGGGCTCCTTACTACAAGAAGGAGCTGGAGGTGCTGGAATGTGTCCAGAGGAGGGCAATGAAGCTGGCGAAGGGTCTAGAGAACAAGTCCTATGAGGAGCAGCTGAGGGAATTGAGGTTGTTTAGCCTGGAGAACAGGATGCTCAGGGAGACTTCATCACTCTTTAAAACTACCTCAAAAGAGGCTGTAGTGGAGTGGGAGTTGGTCTCCTTGCCCAAGCAATAAGCGATAGCACAAGAGAAAATGGCCTCAAGTTGTGCCAGAGGTGGTTTAGGTTGGACATTAGGAAATGTTTATTCACTGAAAGGGTTATGAAACATTGGAACAGGCAGCCTAGGGAAATAGATGAGTCATCATTGCTGGAGGTGTTCAAAAAATGTGTAGACAGGATGCTTAGGGAATGGTTTAGTGGTAGGTTTGTCAGTGCTAAGTTAATGGTTTTAGAGGTCTTTTCCAACCTAGCTGATTTGATGATTTGATTTGATGATTTGATTCTATGATTATTTTAGTCCAGGTCATTTAAGCTGTTCAGTCACACAATGCTATCCTGCAAACATTTGTGTTGGCACAACTGAAAATGTGATGTATGGTAACACAGGGGAAGAACTAAGCAATGAGATGCAGAAACTTCTTAAACCTTCTTGCCAACAAAACCAACATGTCTTTCACTACAGCCAAAATCTTTGCTCATAGACTCTATTATATTATTTTAGTATTTCTCAATCCATTTTCTGTATCAGTAAGAGATAAACATGTTAATAAACTGCTTGTCATATATGAGAAGCGAGTAGAAGCTTTCATGTGTATGCATGTACACTGAAGCCTGCTTGGAGAACATCTTTGTTTGGTAATACTAGCATGGATAATATTAATAGTTAATATTTAATGTCATAGGTTTTGTCATAGGCTAGCAAATATAATACAGCTCATCTGGAGACCTGAAAGACATCTGACTACTAACCCATACTGAAACATCTGCTGTCTTTGCATCTAGTTATCCATGAAATCTGAGGTAAAGCTAACACAGCTATGTCTGCTTATAGAGTAAAGGCACAGTATTTTGCCATACAGACATTTTCTCATTTGAATATAGAGTGTAGCGTTTCAGTAAACAAAAGAATATGCACATACCTACAAGAAAAGCACAGTTGCTAGCAAGACAATGATTGTGCTAACTGAGCCTTGTTATGCCTAAAACCACAACCACTCATTATGATGTCATGACACATGAATACTGCTATGGCAGTAAATTCCTTGAAGACTAACATTTTCTTACATAAGAAGAACATTCTGAAGCATTGTTGCTCAACATCACTGTGTATGGATATAATATAAATCTGTACAAATAACTGACTTGTATTAAAATATTATTTGTTAGTTAACAGCTCAAAATAGTATTTTTACAAAAGGCCAGTGGCTGCCTTCATTGCAGTATAAATTATTTATTTTATTTTCTGGCATTTACGGTAGAATAAACACAGATGACAACACTCAGGAAGTAGGAAAGCCATTCCAGGTTGACCTGTTCTCTTTGCCTGAAGCACAATTGTGAGTTGAACTTAAGCCTCTCATCTCATGGGAGAATGCCATAACCTCCAGCTAGGTAGCATACCGAAGGGTATAACTTTGGGTTTTTCCTTCTATTGTTCTATAAAGATTTCTCTGAGTAGAGGTTCAAACCTGAATGTGCCCCCTTTTCAGTTGAATATGTTCCCTTATGAAACAGCAATAACTCACTCACTCACTGATCCAAATGACATTCAAGCAATTTACCCAAGTGGATTAGCTTCAAAAGAAGGAATTGGTAGAAATGATAATAGAAAAGATGATGGAAATGGGTGTTTGGTATATACCAGGAAAGAACCATTACCATTTCACTATGAGATGGAGAAATAGAAATAAAGATGGAGAAATAGAAAAACAAGAGAAGCATTACTGTTCCCACAGTTATGGAGTTATGGACGGCACTTAATTTTAGATCCCCAGGTTGAAACAGTTCATTTCAGGTAGCTCAAACAAATCACATTTATAATTTAATTTGCCTTTTTTTTTTTTTTATCATTTAACACTATAAGCTGAATTTTACTTAAATTCACTAATAGGTTGTGATTCAAGTCCCAGGAATTTACTTTAGTGCTATTGCAGACCATTTTAGGAGCTTGCTTTTCCTTTATAATCAGTGGATATCTAATCAGTATAAGCAGAGCCATTCATGGTTTCTTGTTACTAAAAATGACACTTCTGGTGAAAGTGTAAAAAGAAAGGAGTAAAACATGAGTGAAAAGGTAAAACATTTCCCCAGTCCCAAACATAGGAGGTGGACTAGTATCCCACCTCTGTGTCAGTCTTAGTGAAATATCTTCCTTTCTTTCACTTTAATTTCTGGCAGCGTCTTCATGTAAGAAATTTACTGAGCACTGGGAAGTAGTGGGCAACAACTGTTGGCACTATTTGAGCATTTATACTTGGCACCAGGAAGTCAAATGAATATCTAAGCACTTCACTCAAAGGAGGACACTGTTTTTCTGTGTGTTAAGTTCAAAAGGGTAAAAATTAACAGCTCCTCACTTTTAGGCAGCACAGTTTTACCTTTTTACTAATGAAATAGCTCAAAATTCATGATGCAACATACAGTAAAGGAAAACACATGCAGATTGTACTTCAACTGTTTCAGATTTGCGTAGCTCCACTTAATTCAATTCTAACTTACAATGACTTTGGTTCACTATTACCACTCCCCCAAAGACAGCACTTCTGTGAACAACCCAGAGTGGACTTCAAAATGCTAACAGAAATTCTCATCTTTTGTTTTTAGCTAGAATAAACTGGGATCCGTCTGATCCACAGATCATATCTGAAGGCCTGTACGCAATTGCAGTAGTATTAAGTTTCTCCAGAATAGCCTACATATTACCAGCCAATGAAAGCTTTGGACCACTGCAGATATCACTTGGCAGAACTGTGAAAGACATCTTCAAGTTCATGGTGATATTTATCATGGTGTTTGTAGCTTTCATGATAGGCATGTTTAATCTCTATTCCTACTATCTGGGGGCAAAACAAAATGAAGCATTCACAACGTAAGTACTACTGATTTGATTGTAATAATTGTGAGCTATTTTTATGGGAGATAGTTGTTTGCATTGTATGTATTAAATTTACTAATAGTTTTGTAAGTTTTACATCTTTTAAAATACCTTTTTGTGTGGTATTAAGTAGTATTTTTTTATTGTATATATATATATACATACATACAGACTTTATATTATATACTTGAATAAGCAGATGAACTCCTGACCCCAACACTAGGATGATAAATCAGGAAGAACAGTCTGGGAAGGTGAGGGATAGCTGCAGTTTATAGCTGAGTAAGAAGCAGGAATGCCTGTGCATCTGCTTAGGGATAGATAATAAGCCAGCAAGAATTTACAGGTTGGGATTAGAGGGTAGACCAACATGGGTGATTTTCTGGTGGATGCCTGCTGCAGACTGCCTGATCAGGAAGATGAAACAGATGTGGCTGTCTTCAGACAACTGGGAGAAGCCTCATGCTTGCAGCTCCTCATCCTCATAGGAAATTTTATCCACCTCGACATCTGCTGGATGGGCAACACAGCAGGACACAGGCAATCTAGAAGGTTTCTGGAAGTCATCAACAATAACTGCCCAACATAGGTGATTGAGGATCTGGTGTGGAGACATTTGCTACACTTGACTTTTACAGACAGTGAAGATCTGGTTGGGGATGTGAATACCGAGAGTAGCATTGGCTGATGAGATGATGGAGTTCACATTCCTGAGAGGAGGGAACAAGGCAAATAGCAGGACCACCACTGTGGACTTCAGGAAAGCAGACCTTGGCCTGTACAAAGAATATCATATGAAGAGGAAGTCCTGGAGGAAAGGGGAATCCAGGGGAGCTGTTTGATTTTCAAGAATTGCGTCTTCAACACTCAAGATCGGTCCATATTACTGGGTAGAAAATCAAACAAAGGTATCAGAAAGCCTGTATGGATGAACAAGAGTGACTGATCGTTGTAATGTCTCTCAGAGGGACCTCAACAGGCTGGAGGAATGGGCTGACAGCATCCTCACAATGTTCCACATGGGAAAATATCAGTCCTGGCCCTGGGGGCGTAACAACCCCAGGCACCAGGGCAGCCTAGGGCTAAGCAGCTGGAAAGCAACTTGACAGAAATAACTGTTATTGATGCTCTTAGTGCACTGCAACCCTCTTACTCCATGTAGCATCAGTTGCATGCTTTTTTTCTTCTCCCACCATAAGAAGAGAAGATCTAAATTTACTCTGTCTGTCAGGAGTTACTTGATATACATTTGTCATGACATCTTCTTGGTAGCCATGATTTTAAGATAAATCACCTAAGCTGATACTCATTCTTTTCCATGCGCTGCAGTCCTTGCCCACTTAATTTCTGACTGTCATAATATTTAAACTATAGCTGTTATGAGGCTTGCTCAGCCAGGAAACAAACTTGGCACAGAAGGAAAAAAATGCTACTACTTTTCTTCTTATTATTTGCTCACACAATAGATAAAGTATCTGAACCAATTCACAGATGGTGTACTGATAGAATATTTTATGCAGAGGGGTAGATTCAGAACTACATAACTTACGGGTTTCTTTTGACTTTTCTCTTAATGATAATGCAATAAAATTGAAAATGTGCTTTACAATGCTACTATATTTGGGTCATGGGGAAATACATGTAAGGTCTATTTATCAAAGCAAGAGAAAATACATCTACAAGGAGGTGAATATAGAATTAGACTCCCAAGACATTTGGACTTATGTTTGTGCGTATGTATGTGGAGAAAGAGAGAGAGAGAGAGAAATATATATATATATATATATATATATATATATATATATGATTAAGAGGAGATACATGCATTGAAAAGAACTAACCTGAAAAAAAATATTAGTGTCACAACACCATGGCTTATTTACTTTTTCTTGAATTTGTGGGAACAGTGAAACTGAACTTCAGGATTATGGTCTTGAAGCATTTTTGAAAAATGTTGCTTTGCAGTCAAACAAGCTGCTTTCTTTACGGTTTCAGAATGTTGATCATATTAATGGTATAATACTTAATAGCAATTGAACTATTCATACAATTATAACGAAGTGTTTACAGGTTATTTTTTGTTATTTACATTCACATTACAGGCAAGTATGTTGCATCTAGAATAAAGTAGTTTACAGTGATTTATTGTAACATTCTTTTGAAGCTGTAGATATAATTCCTAAACTGAATCAGATGTTTTTATTGTCAGTCCTAAATATTAGGACACGTATATTATCGAAGAACATATACATATGAAATTAGGTAGTCTACTTCTGCACAATATTGCTCTGGTACAGGTGTACATTATGATAGTAGAAATTTTTTTACACTGTGCAAAAATGGTCGCTGGCAATTCATACAATAAGACTATACTGTTCTTGTTCAGTAACATATGCATGTGTTCAATTCCTCCTTTTAGTGTTGAAGAAAGTTTCAAGACATTATTCTGGGCTATATTTGGACTCTCAGAAGTTAAATCAGTTGTCATCAATTATAAACACAAATTCATTGAAAATATTGGCTATGTCCTTTATGGAGTTTATAATGTTACCATGGTCATTGTCTTACTGAACATGCTTATTGCAATGATCAACAGCTCATTCCAGGAAATTGAGGTAAAAAATCCATTTATGATGAAATATTACCTAATGTAGTGTTATATCTAATTGTTTAAATACCCTGGAAATCCTGTCTTGTCATCTTATATAAGAAAAATAACACAGAATTTTGGAATATATTACCAGAAAGTATTCATTCACTGTTCATTTTTGTTACAAATTACCTGGAAATTACTCAGCTGTATGTGCTTGCAGTAGGAAGAACCAGAACCGAACCAAGAAACCCAAGAAACCGCTGCCGACCCGCAGCGGATTATTTAAACAATCATTGCTTTATTCCTCTGCATTCAACAGAACTTTATCTAATAAAGTAATCAGCAGGGCTACAGAAAATCAGCATGAACTTTTCATGTCATGCAATACAAAGGGCTAAATCATTATAATTGATTAGTAAAAAATGGAAGTAGAGCTCCAGAAGCTAGGCCATCCCAGCCTTTCCTGGGTGATGCCCTTACCACAAAGCAGCAGACTCAGGTTGTTTGACATTACTCCCAGTTTCTGGGCATTGACTTGGGGTCACAACCATTATCCAGCCTGATTAAAAGCAGTGCACATTCTCCAAATTCAGATTTTTCTGACTGAGATCACAGAAAAAAACAATTAGGTTTAGAGCAAAGAAAACTACGCTGTTATCCAAAAGTATGATGACTGAATACAAAGAGCTTCTAAAAACACCTACAGCAATATTGAGATATGTCCTTGAGCCTGACCTCAGTCCTTTCTGCAGAATTGACTTCCCTTGAACTTTACAGGAATGAGTAAAATGAGTGTTTTGGCCATTGTAAATGTTAAACATAAACCATGGTGATGATAGCATACCTTATTTAATCGCATATTAAAGCAAGTGGAAGGAATTTGATAAAAATCACCTAATCCTCTTTAACATCATGTTTAAAGTAATAAAGTAAAATTCTTATTTAAAATTCTATTTCTTTTTCAAAAAGAAGATTATAGATTAAATTAATTGCTACAAAAAAAAATCAGTAAGATAAGAAATCAAAGCTTGTAGTATTATTGAGGAATCTACAGTTTTGTTATGTTAGAATAGGATTTTTCCATTTTATTTACTGAGCGTGACAGTGTTCCATGCAAGTGACTACTTGATCAAGCCTGAGAGGATGAATTTGAATGTTGCCATGAAACTTTACATTAGGCATTGTGTTGTGGGCTTTTAGGTCAACACCATAGGCTTATTAGTCTCATTACAAAGAGCACAAGCCAAGAAGTCTTTGTAATGTTGTATTGGAGACTATTAGCACTCATTCTGGAGTAACTAATGTCTAACGCAAATCCATTTTGTTCTTCTGTAATTGCATTGTTTTAAATGGATTAATAAGAACAATTCTATTAATTGAAATGTGGTTTTCATTGATTATAAACAAGCTCCTAACCTGTTTGAAATTAACTTCAGCCAATTACATTGAAAGCACACATAACATTTATCTAGGTCATCTTCAGTTGTCAAGATGCTATTAATAGTGTATTAATAGCAATGTTTCTGCTTTACAGGATGATGCTGATGTAGAATGGAAATTTGCAAGGGCTAAACTTTGGTTTTCTTACTTTGAAGAAGGGAGGACTCTTCCAGTACCCTTCAACTTAGTGCCAAGTCCAAAATCTTTGCTGTATCTCTTACTCAGAATCAAAAAATGGATCTCTAAACCATTTCTGTGCCAAAAGAAAAACTTTCAGGAAGATGCAGAGATGAACAAGGTAATTAACAGTATGTCTATTAACTACTAATTTTAAAAGATAAAAACAATTTTAACTTTTCATTGTTGGTGTTGACCCATTTTTCTAATGAATTTCCTGATCTGCTTAGTCCAGACTGAAATCAGTCACTAGGTACAGGTTGAAATTTACTTATTTTTTAACTTTTTTTTTTTTTTTAGTTATTTTTAAATAAATATTTGTCCACATCTATAATCAGTTAAGTTAAAAAATACCTTTGTAAATTTACAGTTCTTCTTGCTCTCTGTCACAGAGTCAGAAAATAATTTAGGTTGAAGGGGATCTTAGGGGTCTCTTGTTCAACTCACAGCATGTCAGCTCTGAGGTCAGACGAAGCTGAAGACTTCATTCCTGTCCAGTCCTGAAAACCTCCAAGGACAGAGACTTGACAACTTGCCTGGGCATCCTGTGCCATTCATTGCATTACTATTCTCAGGGGGAAAAATTTTTCCTGTCCAGGCTGGACCTCTCTTGTTTCAGGCCGAACAAGTCCAGCTTCTCCAGCCTCTTCTCATAGGGCAAGTTCTTTAGCCTCCATCATCTCTGTGGTCCTCCACTAAGCCTGACAGGAGTGTACTCCTGCAACTCCTCCAACACCTGGTCATTGATAAAGATACTAGAAGCCAGTAATGAGTGGTGTCCATCAAGGGTCCATACTGGCACTAATGCTATTTAATATCTCCATCAATGATGTAGATAGTGGAGTTGAACGTACCCTAAGCAACTTTGCAAATGACGCCAAGCTGGTGCTGTTGATATGCTAAAGGGAAGGGATGCCATCCAGAAGGACCTTGACGAGCTTGAGAAGTGGGCCCATGTGAACCTCGTGAAGTTCCAAGGTCAAGTGCAAAGTTCTGCACCTGGTCTGGGGAAATCCCTAGTATCAGTACAGTTGGTGACAAATTGCTTGAGAGCAGTCCTGCAAAGAATGACTTGGGGATACCGGTAGATGAAAAATTCGATATGTTCTGGCAGTGTGCATTTGCAGCCCAGAAAGCCAACCATAATCTGGGCTGCATCAAAATCAGCATGGCCAGCAGGTCGAGGGAGGTGATTCCCCCTCTGCTCTGTTCTTGTTAGACCCTGTATAGCCCTGTGTTCAGCTCTGGGGCTCCAGAGCAAGAAAGACAGGGACCTGTTACAGTGGGTCTACAGGAGGGCCTCAAAAAGTATCAGAGGGATATAATACCTCTCCAGTGAAGAAAGACTGAGCAATCTTGGGAAGTTCAGCCTGGAGAAGAGAAGACTTCTGGGTGACCTTATAGCAGCTTTTTAGTACTTAAGGGGGATTTATAAGAAAGATGGAGAAAGGAATATGGGTAATGGTTTTGAACTGAAAGAGGGTAGATCTGGACTGAATATATGGAAGAAATTTTTTACCTTTACTGGAACAAGTTGCCCAGAGAAGTTCTGGATGCTCCGTCTTTGGAAGTGTTCAAAGCCAGGTTGGACAGGGCTTGGAGCAAATTGGTCTATTGGAAGATGTCCCCACCCATGGCAGAGATGTCACACTGAATGATGTTTAAAGGTTCTTTCCAATGCAAACCATTCTATGATTCTATATTAAAAAGTGCAAGTCCCAAGACAAGGCCCTTACTGCCCTCTGAGTACAACTATCCAGCCAGCATTTTGCCCAGTTGTCCAGGCTAACATCCTAAGGTAGGTAGAAGAATATTTTGGGATACAGAGTTAAAACCCTTACTAAAATCATGATAGACTACGTTTCCAGTTCTTTCTCCATCTGCAAACCCAGTCATTTTATCACAGAAGGCCATCCAGAGGGTCAGGCAAATTTTACCCTTGGTAAATCCACATTGTCATTCTCAGTCACCAACTCCTCCTCCATGTGCCCAGAAATGTTCTCCAAGAGGATTCAATCCATTATTTTCCCAGTTACCAAAGTGAGGTTGTGGTGCTGACATCACCATTTTGGCCTTTTTTGAAGATGAGTTTGATGTGTGTCTTTCTCCAGCCTTTGGAGACCTCTTCCAATTTCCATGAACTGTGAAAGGTGTTACCATCTTTGGAAGTTCTCCAACTGCTCTCAGAACCCATGGATGCAGCCCAATGATCCAATAGACTTGCCTGAGCCAAGTTCTGTCAATTAACCCCTGACTCAACCCTCATCCACGGTTGGTTGTTCAAAACCCTCCTCAAACCCCTTCACTAAGAACAGAGCCTTGGTAGACTGTTGGTGAAGCCTGATGGAGAGAAGGCATCAAGTCCCTCAGTCTTAACCTGAATACCCTTCTTGACTGAGCTGCAGGCCCATGTTTCCCTGTGCAGCATTTTATTGCTATTGCAGCAGTAGAAATTCTTCTTATTGCCCTAGCCAAAGTTAGCTTAAGGTGAGCTTTGGCTTTTCTAACAGCACCCTCACATGCCTGGGCAGTGTTTCTGAACTCCCCTTGTACAGCCTGTCTCTGTGTCCGCCAAGAAAGCAGCTTCCTTTTATTCAAATCATTCTGTTATGTTTTATACAAGTACAGTAAAAGGCACTTGAGTTTATTTATTGCTGTATCTAGCGGGTTTATTTAAGGAGTTTATAGTCAGTCTGTTTTTCTTGCAGTGGTTTGGTATAAATTAAATTAATTGCTTTACAAGAACGTAGGGCTTAGCACATGAGTTTACGTGGTGGTAGAAGTGTAAAGACTAGCACTGTTGTAACGCAATATGGAAGAAAAGCTTTGCAAGACATCTAATGAGACTCGCTGAGTAGAAGGGTGAGCATATGGTAACATTCACACACACAAAAAAGAAGTTGCAGGTTTGTCTATGTGGCAGAATCAAATGTGTCATTTATGGAACTTTAAAAAGTGAAGGGTCGCTGTTAAAATAGTCAGCAGACTGACCAGAGGCCTCCCCAAGGTTAGTAATTTTCGAGACAGTGGCTATAGTCATTAGACAGGGGCCTGTGAAGAAATTACATGCCTCTGTCAGTTCTCAACCAATATGACAAACACTTTTCCCATCACAGTTATCAGCTGAAGAGTAAAAGAGAAAATAAACTCATTACAATCCTAGAAGGAAAAAAATGGACCTATATGGAAAAATAGTGTGCCTCTGACAAGCCTCTGCCTCTGGTTAAGATCATAATGGATTATAAAAGGAGACACAGACATTACAAACACTGCCAACAAAATCAAGCTTGTTATTAATTTCAGATGTCTTATGTGTGCTACTGGTAAACTTTCTAGCCTTTCAAAAGACCTCATGTCATTTTATTTGCAAAATCAAATACTAATGTATTTAAGACCCATCAGAGATAATATCACTGATAATATCAGATAATATATTTGCTTGAATTTTCAGTGACTCAATGTTATCAAAACTTTTCATCAAGCTGCTTGATGAAAATTGATTTCACAACTTCAGTGAGTGATAAGGTCATCACTCAAAAATGGACTTTAAGGAGATGCATGCAAACTTCAAATTGGGTGATGGTGAGAAACATTTGTGACTTTGAAATGTGTATAAGTAAGTTATAAGCTTACTTTTAATGATGGTTTTAAAAATGAAATTTCTGATCCAATACAACTTAGGTAAATTTGAAAATCTTGTGCTTGCAATTACAATTAATTTTTATCATTCCTTTCCAAAATTATGTTTGTACATAGCAATTCAGATAGCTAGAAAGGTGCTTTCTGCTAGCTGCAGATGGTAGAGTAACAAACGCTAAATTACATGTTCTTACTCTGCAATCAAAGAAGCTATAAAACTGCAAATCAAATTAAAAACAAACAAACAAAACAATACCTTACAATGCAACCCATAATGCAGCGGACTTGCATCTATTCTTTTCTCAGCCTTTCCAGAAAGGTGATTGATATTGCCAGATGATTATTTTCTTACTTCCTTTTCGCCCAGCCTTTCCAGAAAGGTGATTGATATTGCCAGATGATTATGTTCTTACTTCCTTTTTGCCCTGCCATATGCCACTGAGCTGACTTGGATCTATCACGTGCTGCCATCCTTTGCTCTTCTAAAAATAAACTAAAATGTTTTCATGTCCTCTATTAATGATACATTTCTGTAAAGTCTGTTTTATGGCATCGTCTCAAAGAAATTCTTAGCTTTTGGAGCTTTTAGCTTTGTACTCATCCCTGTGCTAGGCAGGTTGGTCCTGCTGTGACTGCCGAGCTGGCCATCCTTGCATGAGGAGCTGCTGGAAGAACAGTGAGCTGTGTGAAGATCAGAAGAGATCTGGCAAGAGCAAGACTTGGTGGCTGTGCAAATGCAGGACTCAGGGATGGCTTGGCCCTGTTCAGTTAGCTTTGCCCCCAAGTAGGGTTGCTGCAAGGGCTTGTCCCCAGTCTGTTCCAGTTGCCAAACTGTGAGGGAGACAGCAAGTTCCTCTGGTGCAAGCCATACTGGGGAGGTCTCCACAAGTTTACAGAGAGATGCCTTTACATTGCTGTGCCCAGAAATGTTAATGCATGCTTGAGTTTACTGACTCAGGCCCAGTCTGAGGGTCTTTCCCAAAGCCAGTGTCTTCTCGGTGCAAAAGCAGCGGCAGCACCAGAGTGAGTGTAAAGGTCAGAAGGAAGGTGGGAAGGGGGGAATTCTGCCCCTGGAGCTAGCTCTGCCCTTATTAGTGTCAGCAGGAAACAAAGCCAGATGTTGATAATGCTAAATGGCTAGTATGGATAATGTTAACATAGCTGCATTCAAAGTGTAGCACAGCAGAAACATGTCTTGAGACATGTCTACATATAATAATGAAGACTGTGAAGAAGTTTTCTTACAATCTGGTGTTTAAGACCTGCAGATTTCTGCTGTAGGGTAGGATTGCTGTTTAAACATTAGATAAACAAGAACGATAATCCAAAATAAATACATAAATAATATAAATATAAATATAAATATAAATATAAATATAAATATAGATATAAATATAGATATAAATATAAATATAATAATAATAATAATTAATAATAAAAAGAGTTTTAAAGAAACCTTCTTGGAGTATTATGCTAAATCAAAAAAGTGCCTTGGAAAAGAGAAAGTATATGTTTTAAGAGTCACAGAACCTGTTCATCTTCCTGAGAAAATAGCGGCAGATAACATATATAAGGCATTTTTTTAAACCATGACCTTTCAGAAAAGAAGTAAGGAACTAATTTTTGAAATAGCTTTAAGCCCTGACTCAAACAATGAAAAAATATGTTACTTTCTCTTTCCTGGAATAAAACAGTGATTCTGAAATTTGCATGAGGGACCTCTGGTTATGAGAGCACAAACTGAATCATATTCTGGGAACTCACACTCCTGGTCTAAGCATATGCAGTTTAATGGCATTCCACTAAAGTCATCAACTGCTGCTGAAAATTGGGATTTAAAGACATTAGGAAAGTGCTGCACAAAACAGCTACAGTCATTATAGATGACTGTTGTAACTGATTGCACTGAACATTTTTGCAAGAACATTTTTTTCTAATAGCAGTGCTCCATACATGCTGCATTTTTCTTTCACACAACACTCCCAGAGGAGAGTTATTTTTGTTAGGTTTCATATGATTATTGTATTTAAATTGCTTTCTCTTTTCTCTCCAGTTACTTATGTGTGGATTCTTGATAGATAATAACTTAAAAAGATGAAAACTCTTTCAATCATTAAAGTGACAAGCTGAGTTTACTCTATTAGTTGTTTTTAGGAGGAAAAAGCAATACAAATGAAGCTTCAAGGGTTTACAGATTTTGTGTAAAAAATGAAGTTGTAATGAAATCTTGGCAATCTCTGCCACCAAGCGGCCACTCAGCAGTGTACAATAAATGTGCATTGTGTGAAGCACACAAATGTGTTTCCTACAGAGGAAGCAAACTCTTCATTTTATTCTACCACATTATTTCCAGAAATTAGGAAACCAGAAGCTGAAGAAGAATTAAGATTTTTTTTTTTTCTCATTTAATTTAGTAATGAAGGTAAGGCCCAGGAGAATATTTGTTAGCTTTAAAACCCTGAAATACATATTGATTAGATGTAGAACTTAGGGATATGGTTTAGCGGGGACTGTTAGTGTTAGGTCAGAGGTTGGACTCGATGATCTTGAGGTCTCTTCCAACCTAGAAATTCTGTGATTCTGTGTGTGTGATTACACAGTCATATATACTCAATAGCCACTATTTTTTTGCTGTTGTTGTTATAAATCTAATGCATAGTTTAAGTTAAAATATATTTAGATAAGCTTATGTTCTCCAATATATATTCAAAGCATTTAAGGTAGTTTTATTCAAGGAAAAAAAAAAAAGTAATAGATTTTGCACATCTTTAATTAATTTCCCATCCAAATTCGTCTTAATATGTTACATATAAATATTAATTGTGCCATATATTTCTATATCTTATGAATTTATTCTTGCTTATTTCAAATAAACATAATCTGAGTTAACGTTTTTTAAAATATGTATACATATATATATACATAGAGAGAGAAACTTTCTAACAAACAAAAGTTCTAAATTCAGCGTAAATTTAATATTAATTTGAAATGAATACAAATGAGTACACTGTGTCAACAACTGTGATGTTTTCTTCAGGAAAAAATATCAAAATGCAAGTGCTATATAAAATTTTAAAATATTTAAATTATTCCTTGTTTACTGATTTATTAAGATTCATTTGCTTTACTGTAATAGTGAAAATAAAGTTCTTGGGAATTCTGGAGAACTAGAAGACTTAAAGAGCATGCTCTGCAGCAACAGGGAGAATTACGAATTTTAATTTATGTCCTCTTTGCTAATTATGCACCTGAATATTATGCGTCATTCAGCATTTTTTGTACATATACAGTTCCCAAGTTTTTGATTTTAGCCTTTCTTTTGTATTAATACACGTAGTGTAAGTTAGAACAAAGCCCCTGTAAAGCTCTCTGCTGAGAGCTTTAACCTTTTCTAATTGACATCTGGTGAATATTTACCACATATTCTATAATCCTACTTCCATTTACTCTCCAAGTTCAACCACAGGAAATTCACCGTGTACCTCAGGAGGTTATAATGATTTCAGTTGTAGGAGGAATAGCTACACGGAAGCTTCAGCCTTCACTGGCAGCAGGCGTTGGAGCGTGGGCTGCTTGCTGTGTGGCATGGCTGTGCAGCTGCACAAGCATCTAACTGCTTTCCCAGCTTGTCCCTCATATCAGGCATCAAAGTGCCCCAGTTTGCTTAGCTGTAGGTGCTTGATGCATTAAGACACAAAATAACCAACACAGAGAACCTCACTGGATCTGAGGTACTGCACTGGGAGCCTAGTGTTTTAAAGCAGTAAAAGTCTTACTGTAACTTGTCTACATGAGGAGAAAGTACTTTATAGTGACAGTCCCACTTATTTCTTGTCCAGATCAATCACAGCTTATATTTCATACTTTTTTATTTCTTGCAGTGCCACTCTTTGTACTGTCTCCATATGAATCAAAAGTCATGTAATTCATTTTGGTTTGAGACTCAGTGCAGTCCAGCCATCCAGCTGGAGCCCCCATTCATAATTTCCTGAAGCTTTAGTCCTTATCAAAGATGTAAATCACAAACAAAGCCTACAAGTTGAATCCTCTGGTTTTCATCAGGGGTGAAGACCTTTCATTTTAGCACGTGTAGTAAAGAAGATGCTATTCAGAAACACCAGCCGATAATTTTGTGGTTCCTGTGATGGAGTTCTGCAAAGGTACCATGTGATGGAGTTCTGCAAAGACTACCATGGTAACTTCACACAGACATAATTGGGCTCAACAGTTAATGTTCTGTCATACAGTACCTGCGTGGGGCAATTTAACTTAATATTGTTCTTTTATTTATTTTGTATTATAAGCAATGTTTCAATTTCAGCTTGGTCAAAGGAAGCAATCAAGTATAAGAAGCTCTGATGAAATCCACTTAAACAGTCTAAACAATCCTCCAAGACAATACCAGGTAAAAAGCACTTTATTTTTGAATTAGATCAAGTTGTGCAACTCATAACAACGTAAGGATAGTTTGAATTTAAGTTAAATAAAAATCAAGGGTAAATCCACGCACTGCATATGTCAGAAATAAATGCAATGATTTTGATACTTACAGTAAAATTTCAACTTTTTTGGTCTTTTTTATTTATTTTTTTCCCATATAGTATAACATTTAAAGTGCTTTTTGATTTTAGACAGAGGTTGAGTCCTCAACAGCACAGCAAAAATTAAGAAAACAAAAAAGAAATGCAAAATATTCCTGATTTGTTTGCTGAAGTAGCTTAGCTTATTGTGCCACATTTCTATATTTTAATACCTCAGGAAATAGAAATATCTTTCAGCCAGTGTGCTATCAATAGTCTGTTTATCCTCTAGTTCCTAGACAGCTTCAGTGAGCCTTCATGCAGTCAAGCATGAGGAGACCCAGACTAGTCCGCACAGTTGTTCTGGGCTTCTTTTCTTTTGGAGGCTGCTTCTTTCCTTCCTGGTACTAAGTAGGCAGAAAGGAACGAGCAAGAGCTGCTTAAGCAGGCAGAAAGGAACAAGCAACTTGGGCAGTAGAACAGGACAGTCTGAACACTAACAGACATTGAAAACAGTGGAATTAGGCATAAATACCTTTTTTTAACCATAAAGCAAAAACAAGTTGGTTTCCTTGGGTGCCACTGTTACATTATGCAGTGTCTATAATAAACTCTGTTTCAAAAACTCTGACATTTTCACAGCCAGTTTCCTTTCAATGCAGCGACAGATATGAAGATTATAAATGTATCCTGTAAACTTGAGGGTATGTGTCCTTGTATTTGAAACATTCTTGGATTATTAGAATAAACAGTACGGCTGCTGACCTTGCAAGCATGACTGTAATGATGGTCCAGAACCACTGATCTAGGATGATTCACTTCTCAGCCACCTCTGGTCAGAGCTATTACTGTGGAGACAAAAGCAGATACATAAAACTATACATATTTCCTACCTTGTAGTGAAAAACAAAAAATATTTTGTTGTCATGGGTTACATTCTATAAAAATATTAAAGCCAAAGATAGATCTTCAAAGGTAGTTAGATACATTCTTCCATATTCAAGTCTTTTGAACTAATGGGAAGAGCAGGGTCAGGATTCATTTATCCTAGAAAGATAAAATGTACGTTTCAATTTGCTGGCCTAGGTCCCCCATATTACTAGTGGACAGGACAGTCATTTGAATGATGTGCTTCACTTGCTCAGTTTTAGCTGTCTGAGATGAACTATGCTCTCAGATTTGCTTTTTCTTTCCATAAAGGGAATTCAGGGTGATTGCCACAGATATATATATTTACATTATAAAATATCTGTATTTGCTTAAATGAGTCACAGCTGAGGTGCTTAAATGACTCTTAGAATGTGGGTTCCATTTTTTCCAACATTCACGTTGTGAAAAGATAGCTTATCAGTTATAATACTAAAAATAGATTAAAATAAACATTGCAAACAGGTTTAGCAATTAGCATGGCTACTCACGGCCATGGTCATCTTTTGGTAGTAACAGAGGCTAGATGTTTTTGTCTATGTAGATCAAAGCTGCAACTATATCAATAATTCTCGTAGACTCTGGTAGTGGTCCAAATCAAGCTTCATGAATGATAACATCAGGAAGACAGGCTTAGTTTTCTAACTTTCTTATACATATTTGTATAGAACAATAAATCTTACATAATTACTGTAAATGAAAAAAGGTATTTTTACGTTACATTCTTTTAAGCTGGCAAGTCCTACACTGCAATATCTGAATGTAAGAAAAGATAGCAGAGCTCATATGTTGAAATTTCATAGAAACAATAGCAGGTCCAAGTAAGAAAAGTTTTTCTTTACTTTCTTCTCTGCAGAAAATAATGAAGCGGTTGATTAAAAGATATGTACTGAAAGCTCAGATAGATAAGGAAAGTGATGAAGTCAATGAAGGTGAGTATGTGCATGTTTATGTCTAATCAGAGAATCAAAACAAATTAATATGGTTACATATGACACCTGGAAAAAAATAAATGTTTCCAAAGTGCTTAATCCACTTGACATATTTACAAGTGCAAAATGTAAAATTAACATGAAATTGAAGTTAGGGAAGAGATGTGTCTTTCCCATCAGAAACAGCTCTGCCATCAGATTCTTGTTCTCCCATCAAAAGCTGTCACTAGTCTGGCACCTTCTTGTGAAGTGTGATGCCACTTCTAGTAGAGCTCATGCATTCTAGTAGAGCTCCCTGCAGGGAGGCTGCATTTAATGCAGCAGCTGGTTGGGGGCGCTCACGTATGAATTTTCCCTTGTGCAGACACCTTTTTTTTTATTAGGGAAACAGCTGGTGCATGCACTTAGCAGAAACGTTCACTTTTGTTTGCACCCCTCAGAAGCTGGAAAGACACCTAATGCCACAGGGAAAAAAAAAAAAAAAAAAAAAAAAAAAAAAGAGGACTGGATAGTAAGAGGCCTTGTTGCTAGCCAGAAGGACTCAGGGATATGACATTTCAGTGATTTCTCTTAGAGCAGATCATTGACTTCCTTATAGAGGCTGCTTAGGGATTTGTGAACTAATGTGATCTCTCACACATTTGCTTTCTCATTTGTTTCCTAAACTGCATCTTTCTATTCCTATCCATAAACCACCATTCATATACAGTCCACAGAACATTCACTTTTTCTGGTTCAACAAAGAAATCCTGAGAAAACCAGTGATAACTGTAAGATATGTAGGATATGCTACTTTTTCCTTCTTTTCTAAATAGTGTGATCTTCTAATGTCTTTTACAGGTGAACTGAAGGAGATCAAACAGGACATTTCAAGTCTCCGGTATGAACTCCTTGAGGAAAAGTCCCAAAATTCAGAAGATCTGGCAGAACTTATAAGGAAACTTGGGGAAAAATTGTCAATCAACTCTAAGGAAGAAGAAAACAAAAGATAACCAACCTAAACATTTAAGAAATGCAACAGAATGTTAACAATCCACTCAAAGCCATATTTCTGTTTTTCTCAAGTCTAGCTCACATTTCTACTACAGATTCAGAAATTACATCATTCCAAATCTTTATTGTAAAAACAGAGCCGCAAATCCTCTCTGTCTATGGTAAAGATGAAATACCACTTGAGTAGCGATATTTATTTATCCTTTATCTGCTGAAGAATAGATAGTTTTAGATCATTTTAATATTCAATTTACCTCTTTTAGAAGGTGAGTGGAATCTTGACAAGCCCAGCTGTGAAAGATTAAAGACATAAATCTAAACTTTTCCTACATTAGCTGGTTGTTTTTCCAAATTTAATTTTGTAGACATTCACACATATATTTTAGTGAAGCAGAAGAGGGAAATTGTGGGTTTTTACATATTTATATCAAATGCTATTTAATTTTTCAAACATTCTCAACTAGAAAAAAAAAGGAAAAGAAAAAAGCAAACTGTCTTTCTTAAAAACATGCAGGTTATTAATTTATTTGAGCATCTCTTTATTTGAGCATTAGATAGCAGAATTCTCAGAGGTCTTTCCTACTTATCTCTATCACTTGATAAACTATCATGAAAGATTCCTAGGTTCCAATGGGAGCTGGTGCATTAAGAAAGAAATATTTTTCACCAAGCTTATTGAAAAGCTATTGCTGGGGCCTGAAGGAAATTCCTTTAATCCAGAATAATTAATCCTTGAAGTTCTAATCTGTTCCAGAATTCCCAAATTCTCCAGCTTTTATGTCTTGAACTAAAACCCACAAACTGCAGGAAAGTTTGATTGTAAAGCAGGTAATACATTAAGTTGGAGGATATTACAATAGTAAGTGTAAACCCTCTGAATTCAGGGAATGGTATGCATTGGGGACCATGTTTCCTCACAGTTAAACTTCTTTAAGTTGTTGAATTTTGCTCAGATATATCTTTACCAAAAGAAAAGGTGTTCCAAAAGCACAAAATCTGTATAGATTTGCATCCCTTGTCCTATTCTTTCCCTGGAGAATTTCCTGCGCTCTATCTCCTAGGATTTCATCAATGAAGAATCTTCTCCATGTCATCATGAGTAGCTTCCCACACTTCGCTTATGCCTACTGTAATACTCCTATGTCTCTGTTTAGCTGGACAAGAGGTATGATATATCCGTGTAGACATGTCTGGTTGATTGTTTAGATGCCCAATCCCTGGAGGTGTTCAAGACCAGGTTGGATGAGGCCCTGGGCAACCTGATCTGATGGGTGGCATCCCTGCCCATGGAAGGGGGGTTGGAGCCAGATGATCTTTAAGGATCCTTCCAAACCAAGCCATTCTGTGTATATATGAATCTATGATTCTATGATAGTTGTGTGGGTCACCAGCTAATACCTACATGCAGGATAGTTGGTTGCTTTCTGTTTCTCCAAGTGGATACAGGCTAAACACCATCTCATTTTTTCCCTCAGTTAATGCAGTAAATTGGTTTCTCTCCTCCAGCAATCACCCATTCTGTGATTGTTACAAGCATATATTGTGTTGGAGAACTTTACTCCTCTTTAAGCTAGGTTGAAGTTAGTGAAAGGGCTGTGAAACTTTATAACAGGAACTTCAAGATGTATAATGTACCTGTAAAAACCTTGCATATATTGGAAACACAGCTAAAATGACTTGTCGGTAATTACTTTTAAATTAGCTTTGTGAAACTTATTTATTGTGGAATGTATCAGAGTCTTTCCACCTCTCCCTTTTGGCTGAAGGTGTAAAAATATTGCTTTTGATTGGTTCAGACTAGTTTCTAGCTGAATTTACTGATAGCCTTTTTAAAAAACATTGGTGAAATCACTGTGTATTTTCAGGGCAAAAAAGTGTGAATGAGAACTGCTTTTGTAGTCATGTAGACATATGTAGAGGCAAGAGGCTCTGTCCTGCCTGGAGTGCAGTTGAAGTTGTGGAGGTTGGCCTTTGACCAGGTTGACTGGGTATTTACTGTGATCTGGGGGAATTTCTCAGCCTTATGCTCAGCCAGTTAGATTAGCCACAAATGGAGCCTGTGGGATAATCCCATGTACTGTGGGCCTCATGCATAATGAACTCAGGGTTTAGAAACATTTAAGGCCTCTTCTTCTGAGGGAGGAGAAGAAAATGAGACTTTTGAAGGTACTAGAACAGACTGTATTAAAATCCACAGTGTGTGCGACTGGAAAACTATGAGCTACAGAATAGCCAATTTAATAACTTGCCTTTGATTATTAAAAAGCATTACCTCATAACCTGCAGTATTTCCTGCAGTAGTCAACAGGGAGTACTGCAGACTCTGAGATGGCCGTACTGGTTGGTCTGCAGCAGAGATGCTCTGGTTTCTGTGTCAGCCATTGTGTGGAAACAAAGGCAGCTGGGGTGATCTCCAGCTGGAAGTCAGCATGAAGCTATCTTCACTGCCTTTTGTCCCCTGGAAGGCTCCTGCCTGTCTCCCTGGGCCAGAATTGGTCACCGATTTTGAGTTCCCGCTTGAATATTTTGGGCCTGGTTTACTGAAGTAGTGAGCACTTATTACGGCTCCAGCAAATGACCACATTAGGGACCACACCACACCAAGATTTTCCACCTTTGAGAAGCCCTTTGGAAAATCTGTTGGCCAGAACTTTTGGTAACAATTACAATTAAAATTTGCTTTCACTAATAGGAAGTTTTCGACCATTGTAATGTGCAGATTGGATCCGCAGCCCAGTGCTAGATGTTGGTAAAACTCAATCTCCATAAATCCAGTGTAAGGAAATGGCACTTAAGGAAATGTGTAAACACAGTTTAAGATCCAGGCACTTTTAAAGTGAAGATTTTTATTACAGAGGTAAAATGGACACTGTGAACTTGTTTAAGCCCAAATTTTGACTTACCTTAAAACTATAGGATCATAATGTATATATTGTATTTCATGAAAAAAAAAAAAAGATTTTTTTAATTCAATGAAGATATTTTATATGTAGTTATTACTCATGGAACAATTTGTTAAATATATTTGAAGAGGTCTATTGCCAAATGTAGTGTGACAAGCAATGTAGTATTTAAAATGAGCACAATACCAAATATATTATTCTGATAAAAAATTAAACATACCAAACTGAAAATACCTTTGTGCTGCATTTTATAATCATATTAGTCCTTCACTGCTGGGAACCTTTGGCTACTCTTGCTTGGAAGACAACAGCAAGACAAACACAGAAGACTACTTCAAATTGTGAGCAATCCTACTACAAAAAAAAATAATTTAAAAAAAGTTTCCCAGAAGGATAAAATGTCTTGTCCTAGTTGATTAGACTCAGGATCTGTCTTGCCTTCTGCAACTAAATGTCACTGATGCTAGATGTTTTGGAATGACCCTGCAGCAGGTAACATGTAATTTTTATCCTACATGTTTCTACTTCTGTTTTCTAATTACAAAAGACTGATATAACTTTGATGAGGAAGTGTTTCCAGATTTTTTGTTAATTATTACGATAACAAGTAGGTAGTCTTGCTACATACTTTATTGTTCTTTTAAATTTTTTTTTGATCTCAGCAATTCACAGTTTCTGCAGCAGCAGCTTCCATGTCCAAACCAGACCTACTACGAAAAAGTATTGGCTTTTATATTTTTTTGTCCCATGAATACCTCTTAAGTTTGAATTATGTGACATAGTGAGTAAAATCCATCATCTTCATGACAGTCTTCTCTCTGTTCATACAAACATATTTCACTAAAAAATATAAGATATCTTAATAAATTCTCAACAGAAGAAAGTACTTTCAAAACAATCCCCAAATTAACAAAGGTTTGCATGGAGGTTTCTTTAACTATTATTGTTTAAACCAAATCACACCAAGCTATTGGGAGGAAACCTTATATGTCATGGAGGAACACAGATAATAGAGAGTAATAGTGTAATACAAGTGTACTCTGCTCAAGGTTTACAGAAGCAGTTCCTGGGTAGTTTTCTCCACCAAAGGGTTTCATGCATAGATTCAGATATTCCAGGCTAAAATCTGCTTTATTTCACTCCATTTTTGAGCACTTCAGTGCCAAGTTAATATATCCTACTGGTTTTGGAAGTGAAATAAATAGGGTCACCTAATGTTAGATGGATGCTAGCCATGAAGACTTCTGTGTTGGAGCACATCTGGACTTATTTTACATGCAGTGAATAGAAATGGTCAATCACAGGTGTGATTTTGTCTCCTCTCAAGGTAGGAAAGCATCCTGGATAAGTCATGTATTAGAAATGACCATTTCTCTCCAATTACTCTGAAGAAGCCACTATAGGTGTTTCCGATGTCTATAAGGAAGTGTGAGATGTCCCAGCTTGCAGAAATGAACACGGCAGTACACTGAAGAGCCATGAACCATCACAACGCCTCATCTGCTTAGAAGTGCTTGAACTGATGAGGAACTCATTGAGAGGAGCAGGATCCAACCTGCCTGCAGAAGAAGCTAACCCATTTTCCAGGGATTATGGATGAGTATGGTCCTTCATTACTCTGAAGCAATATTACATGTTTTCAATAGTGTAAGTGTGGGTAGGCATAAATGGAAATATCTACTAACTGCATCTTTCCCAGACATAAGAAAAACTGTAGCTTAATGTGCACTTGGAAACTAAACCCTAATTGATGAACCAGGAACTTTATGAGAAAGAGAAGTTTAAATGCTATGTTTTATTACACTATGGTGAACATGTATTTTCAAGATTATGTCTTTAAAGTAAGGTTTACAATATACAATTTGATGTTGGCAGTACTTCAGCTATAGCAGATGTATCATATAATTTATTAAGAACATGTTCTCATGGCTGCAGTGTCCCAAAATGCAGTTTAGTCCAATGAAATCTTGCATTTGCCTCTCATATACTTCCCTCAAGCTTGAAATTTGTAGCTGAACATAATAATTAATATATTATAGACAACATAATGTGCAACTGCGCTCATTCACAGAACAGTAGAAATCTTCCTTATATTGAAAATGGCTCATTTTTCATGTAAATATTTAATGTTTTTTTTAATTCATTAGAAAATGCCTAGTGCAAATAATATTTCTTATTTCTAAGCATTTATGTTCCTGCTTAAATTTTAATTTGGTCTGTGAATATAGAACTCATAAATTAGAAAATTTCTATTTGGAAAAATGGAAAAATACTTGTACTTCATGATCTCATATAAAAAGAGGAGTTAGGTGAGGCTGAAGAATTACCTTAATCTACGTACTCTTAGCAGGACAGGGATATAGTGCTTTTCCCTGAGGTATATGACCTTGAGTAGTTCAAAATGCTACACTTATTTTATTTTTCCATTGCTGCAAAGCCTAGCAGACTCTTCTTCCTCTTTCTGTTCTTGTCACCATCATTAATGTGACAGTGCAGAAGTGATCACAAGGTACAATCTTTGAGTGCTTTCTATGTCCTGGCAGCTATTATAGTAGCAACTGGTTTTGCTGTAACCTTTTCATTATTCTATGATTCAGCTCCTCAACATTTACTCTTTGCTCCTTTAATTGATGGATCTCCAATCAAAGTAATTGAAAAAGATTAGATTGCATAGTCTGCAAATACCAGTCATGAGATAAATCATTATGAACATGAATAGCAATAACTGTATACACTTTTATGTATAAAAACTTTTACATCACTTCGATATTTCATTGTTCTTTACAAATAATGAGTGTATGCTGGTAGGCTTGCACAGTCTGCCAAGAAGGGTATAATTAAAACAACAGTCAGTACAAAAAACTTTTGCTGTGGTGGCTTAAGGCAGCTCAGCACCACCACACTGTTCTCTTATCCCCACTCCTCAAAAGGACAGATGGATTAAATATGATGAAAAAAGCTCAGGGGTTGAAATAAGGACAGGGAGGTCACTCATCAATTGCCATCACGGGTAAAACAGACTTGGCATAGGGACATTAATGTAATTTATTGCCAACTGCTACCAGACTAGAGCAGTGAGAACTAAAAGCTGGCTAAAAAAACCTTCCCCCCTACCCATCCTATTCCACCTCCTCCCCCTGAGCAGCGCAGAGGAACAGGGAATGAGGGCTGCAGTCAGTCCCTGGCATTTTGTCTCTGCAACTCCCTCACTGTCCCTCTCTGCCCCTGCTCCTCATGGGGTCCCTCCCACGGGATGCCGTCCTTCCCAAACTGAGCCTGCAGGGGCTGCCCACAGGCTGCAGCTCTTCAGGAACTGCTCCCACACAGCTCCGTCCCACGGGGTCCATCCCCCAGGAGCAAAGTGCTCCAGCACGGGTCCCCCACGGGTGGGCGGCAGCTCCCCCCAGACCCCCTGCTCCTGCGTGGGCTCCTCTTCATGGGCTGCAGCTCTGGCCCAGGGCCTGCTCCTGTGGGGGCTCTCCATGGGCCGCAGCCTCCTCCAGGCCACATCCACCTGCTCCACCAGGGGCTCCTCCACCCATGGGGGGGCTGCAGCATGGAGATCTGCTCCATGTGGGACTCATGGGGTACAGGAGGACAGCCTGCTCCACCAGGGGCCTCTCCACGGGCCACAGGGGAACTCGTGCTGCCTTGTGCCTGGAGCACCTCCTGCCCTCCTGCTGCACTCCCCTTGGGGTCTGCAGGGCTGCTGCTCTCTCAGCTCTCACCCCTCTCTCCCAGCTGCTGTAGCACAGCAGATTTCCTCTTCCTTCAATCTGCTCTCTCAGAGGCCCAAACAGCATCACTCATGACTCAGCTCTGGCCAGGAGCAGATTCCTTTTGAAGCAGGTTGGAGCTGGCTCTGATCTGACATGGGGCAGCTGCTGGGCTCTGCTCACAAACCTGCAGCCTCTCTGCTGCCAAACCCTTGCCACATAAACCCAATACATGTAGGCAAAACCTACTCACTCTCAACTGGTGAATGGATTCTTCTAATAAAATGTACTTTCCCATGACCTTTGTCAAGCCAATTCAACTCTCTGTTGAACTCAGCTTCCCTATTTGTGACAGGGAAGAATGAAAAAAAACACTGATGTAAATTCTGAATAATGTTGGTGAACATGTATGAATAATTATTTTGAGGATTTTATAAAAGATAAAACTTCAGCTTTTCCTCAAAAGGACTATTTCTGTGCTTCCAGAAATGATTTTGAATAACTATAATCAGACATCCAGTAGCGTTATCCACTGCAATGGAGAAAGAAAGTATGGAGGATTTAATGAGATTGATGTCTTCGCAGCAAAAGGCATTGCTATGGGACTGTTCATATGAGCTGTGATTCTAAAAATGCCAGTTAAAACACGCACTGAGCCTGTTCTGTGTGTAGCCTGATTATTCAGTCCCCATCTCATTGTGGTAAACTGGGGCTCTTCATCTGTCTCATAAAACACACACTTTTGAATGGAAAAAAGCCAGCACACAGTAAACTATTTAAAATACCATGCATCGTGAACAAGTCTTTCTGGTGAAAATAAAGTATGTGGCAGGTTTCTATCAAACCATGTTGGTATTAAAATACTCAAGACTGTGTTTGAAGGCTGTGTTAGAGCACATATGATCTCCCCTGAGGTGGTTGTTCTATTTTTCAAGTTAAAATACTTGTACCAGAAATGACCTCGTGCTTGAATTCATCAGCATTATTTAATAATGCTGTGAGCTTCTTCCCTCTAGAGTGGACCTTACACTTTGCTTTATACTTTAGTTGAGGAAACTAAGCATCCGTATACAGCCACATCCCTTCAGCAGAGACTTCTCTTTGATCATACAGGAGGCCATTGACTGTAGCAATAAAAGTATTAAAGCTAAGCCTGGCTGGACCAAGAAAGTTTTCTCTGTATCAGAGGGGGAGGAAATAAAGAAAAAATCAGAGAGCCTGAAGATCTTTTATCATCTGAAGTTTGCATACCATCCATGGATGTTCCATGTGTTTGGTGATTTTGTTTCTTCTGTTTTAGATATTCAGAACATAGATAACTCATCAAGCGATCTAGGCTCCTCCTCTAGTCTCTGAAAAGGAACAGAAAATTCTAGGGCACAATTTTAAATGTCTAGCGTATGCCAACAAAAACATTCTTTCAAAACATCTCTCTCTCCACTGCTCAGGTAAGTCCCATCCACTGTCACACAGCTCTAGTAGTAAATGGTTGTGTGAAAGCAAACACAGGCCTTC